TTACACAACAAGCCAAAGCACAGCGCTGAGGAATAACTAAATGAAATCAATCCAACTACATGTTTATTCTAACAGAGCAGTAAAAGTTTAGATGCTTCCATGCTGTAAGCTAACGTTAGTTTTATTGCCAATTACTGATCAGCTGATTGTCTCGCTAACATAACCAGAAAAGCCAAACCACAGCGTTGGAGAACAACAAGGCTATACATGAAATTAATCCAACAAGATAAGACACTGATGGAAACACACCACGGCTCTCTCACAATTATACAAGCAGAAGAAGAAGCCGTGATGACAAACGTGCTCTGTAGCGCTGTTTGTCCGTTGTTGGCTGTTGTAGAAACATGACGACAAAATGCTGCGATGTCCATAGGAGGGGTGACTGCGGTTATGTAGATATAAATGGCTCATTCTAAGGTAATAAAAACATAATGGTTAATTATGTAAGGTCTTTACACACCACTGAAAGCATAGTTATAGATATTATATTGCATTTCTATCAACAGATCCTCAGAAATATTACACACTGAAATTTTAAGCCAATTTTGATTGACGTGCATTTATGTAAAATTGTACATTAATACACAAAAGTATAAATTTACGGAAAAAAAACAGATTGACCTATCAAAATTCTTTTGATAATTTTGGATCACCAACGTCTGTGGATGATCCTGACAAAGTTTCAAGTCAATTGGTGTAACCGTCTGGGTTGAATTTGGAAAAACGGTTTTTAGAGAAAAGTGCTAAAAAGTCTTATAATTTGACATTTTCAGAGCAGAAGACCATTGGAGCAAAGATGCAGATGAATCCAGAGATTAAAATGATGAAAGAAGTTTGATTCGCAAAAACGTAAAGTCAATTGTTATAGCACCACCGTGAGGTCTATGAGTGCCATTTTTTTTTGCCTGAGTAGTGGGTGGAATTTGCAACTTACGCGCCAGTTTTGGTGAGTTTTTGTCCAGCAGTTTTTGCTGCACACAACACTTTTAGTGGAGAAAAAGAAGAAAGAAAGAATAATGAGAACAAAAACAATAGGGCTCCAGCAGCTTTGCTGCTTGGAGAGGGCAATATAAAATGAAAGTCTCCTGTGAAACTTGTGAGGGTTGGTGTGTATGCCAAAACAGCAAAGTGTTTTAACAATAAAAAAAGTGACAAATGTCAGAAATACATCGATAAGGCAGCCTAGTTGTAAACTCAGCAAAAAAGAAGCTTCCCTTTTTTAGGACATCATATTTTAAAGATAATTCTGTAAAAATCCAAATAACTTTACAGATAATGTTTTCCATGCTTGTTCAATGAACCAACCTGATCTCATCCCAGGCGTCATATATACACGCTTTGACAAAGCTATTGTACGCAACAGCAATTTTGCGTGTGGATGACACGCTGCAGTTTGCTATAGCATTGCAACATGGCCGAAGTGCTAGCAGGTAGGGTTAGCCGGTCGACATGAATATATTTACTGACTCAGATTTAAGCACTAACTTCTGTGATGGTTAAGGTTAGGGTAAGTAGCCTCGGGGGACTGTCAATGCCTTAAAGTGCTACTAGCGTTTCCCGTCACCCCAGGGCGTCATGTACAAATGCGCCTGGATTCGTCTCTTCAGCCTATCGCAATGTCCCCACTAAACCCTAATCCCTGAACCCTCACAGACTTTACTGATGTCATTTGGAAAGTGACTGAGTGTAAGAGGCTGCAAGGGATCACAATGCTGTGAACAGGAACAGGCCAGCACCTTGCCACATTATCATGTTACCTTGACGACGCTGAAACATGTTGCACACTTTTTATTTTATGATTTGGACTGATTTTTAAGTCTTGCAGGCCCTTGCCCTACAGATTGGATGAGATGTAAATATTAAATATATATATTTGTCTATAGTCAATGCACTCTTGTTGGTCAAAACACCATCATTAAGCAAAAACTTAAATAAATATTTGAATATGAAAGTGTGTAATAAGGTGATTGCATTCCTCTGACTTCATGTGTTCTATGTACCATCTTAAATCTATGTTAAGAAAAATTCTAACAATTTAAACATCATCGGTGGTGTAGATACTTGTTTGTTTACCATTCTTCTTTTCATATAGGACGGATTTTCCGTGATTTTTCTCTCACTGTCCCCTGGGGCGAGTCAAGTCACTACTCCAGCTAAATCCTTCCATTGTCACAATCTTGCCTGAGTAGTATACAACCAGACCAGCCATATAAAGGCTTATGTATATAATTACTATCATTATCTCTAAAATTCTCATTCATAGAGCAGCCTAACGTCCCTATTCATGAGTATAATATTACTATCAGATTTGCAGTAAATATATTTAAGTAATAAGCTTGATACACTATAAGAATAAACACACTTATTAAAATTCAACCAATTTAATAATAATCTGGATCAAACCACCAAGTTCTTAAAGAACTCCAGCACAGAGAGAGGAACAAAGAAATAAACACATATAAACGCAGCAGTTTGGCAGGTCTGGACGCAGAATGGGCCACATCAGGTCCGGATTCTGCAGACAGAGAAACACACATGAGCACATCGCTCTCAAACACTGCAGGTTGTTCACCAGTCACGAGCGGTGAAACAACAGCACGGCTCTGTTGGTAAATAAAAAGTAAAAGTTTCGTTGCGTTCTCTGGCGGACCTGGATCAGCTGTTAGTTGTTTACAGCTGTTTACAACTGTTTTTAATGACCGGGTCTGTTTGTTTTGGAGAGGAGACGACATCAGAGGTAATTCAGCTCCAGGTAGAACCCTGTCAGGGCTCTGAAGTGGACCCAGAACAACTCTCATCAGCTGTTAGCTGTAAACACTAGCAGGACTAAAGTTACTGTGTTAAAACTATAACTTAGCACAACATCACTGCGCTGTAATAACGTTATGCTTTATAAAATGTCACATAATTAACAAAATAGCTATATAATATCAGTCCAGTGACTGTTACCTGACAGCCGACCTGCCTCTCATTATCCGGCGCTGGCAGTCACTCAGCCTGCAGAATGAACTGAGACTGAGGAGGACCCATGTGAGCGGTGAACGAGTGGTTCATTCCTGCTCCACTGTAGGAGCTGTCAAGTGACAAATGAACGACTCAGACCTAGAGACCCACAGTTGAGAGTCGTGAACTAATCAATTCAGTTTCCTGTGCTGACGGAGCCCATGCAGCTGCCGTGTGACGAGGGAACGTAAGAGTCCGAGATCCTTCACGCATGCGTGAAAATGAACGAAAATGAACGAAGACAACCCGTTCCTCCCGAGTCATACGCACGATTAGGTCTTATGAACGAAACGACCTTTGAACGACACAACACTACTTCCCGGGAACGCGCCTCAAAGCCTGTGAGTCTGTGTGGGTGGACATTGGGATTTGGCCCATACTTCGAAGCCCGTTGCAGAACGTTGCAAGGAAACATGTCGTTCAATTAGAAAACGTTGCAAACCGGTGAAAAATGTTTTGAGATTGAACTCGTCCTGGCATGAGAACAGGCTGAATGAACCTAGTCAATTATTGACTATGGAATGGTCGTTAACAGCATACAGACGGTAGGCAATTAAGGTCACACTTATAAAAACTTAGAACTGTACAGAGACCTCTCTACTGACTCTGAAAAACACATAGGAAAGATGCCCAGGGTGCCTTCTCATCTGCGTGAATGTGCCTTAGGCATTCTGTAAGGAGGCATAAGGTCTGCCGATGTTGCCAGGGCAATAAATTGCAATGACTGTGGTGTGATATGCCTAAAAAAGCACTACAGGGAGACAGGAAGAACATCTGATCATCCTCGCAGTGACACCTGGATCAGCAGGGCCACACCAGATACTGATTGTTACTTTTGATTTTGAGCCCCACTTTGTTCAGGCACACATTATTCCATTTCTGTTACTCACATGTCTGTGAAACTTTGTTCAGTTGATCTCTTAGTTGTTGAATCTTTCTACGTTCTTACAAATATTTACACATGTTAAGTGTTAAAAGTAAGTGAAAAATAAAAGCAGTTGTAGAGGACGTTTCTTTTTTTGCTGAGTACTGTTAGGGTTGTCCACTTTGATGGAGGCAGACAGAAAGGACACATATCAACCCCTATTTCTAACATTTTTCCTATATAACAACAGCAATTGTTGAATGGCAACGGCATAACATAATTGTTTACCTGACTGGCCATAAGATTTGGGCTTCTAATAGCTAAAAAGCAATAAGGTTTTGTTATTTTATGCTATTAAATTGGCAAAGACCTCAGAATTTGCATTTAACAGCTGTCAAATCAGAGGGGCTGTTTGCACCCAGAAAGTGGTGGGGGCATGACGTAGGGGCAAAGTACTCGGATGTGCTGCTCTCATCTGTGGGCGTTTACTCTTTACCCAACCAGAGTTTGCCACGATCTCCATCATCCAATCATATTGGTGCTGTCAAACTATAAATCTGGAGCTTTGAGCTACGTTTTCTCTCATTTGACTGGTGTGTCAGAGGTCTCAATGAGCAGTGATGTGTATATAAACAATGTCACCCCCGTTCACCATATCCAGTGCCCAGGTTGAGTTCATCAGTCCACTCCTCATCACATCCAGTTTTTCAGAATTTTCTTTCTCCCATCACTACCACATCTGTGTCCAAACTCTATGGAGTTCACCACCCCCTTAAAATGTGATGACGTCACGATGGGGTCTAATGGCCTATGGCTATCACATTTCACATCTTTATTGTACGCATGGCAAAAAAATATTATACGACACTCAGAGGTAGTCTCTCCTGATTGAATTCAAACAGCTGCTCCTTTGTCTGCATGTGGTACAGTAACCCTGTCTTGTAATTGGGAACAAAATCAGAGACAGATAATTACCAAACTCTCCTCCGGCAGATGATTAGAAAAACAATATTATTAATATTCAAAAGAATTTCATACTGTAAAAAACTGCTTTGAAAAGCATCTGCGTGGCTCCTTTTGTTTGTGCTGCTGATACTTGTGTGACAGTTCCTCTCCTTCTCTTCCCTCTTAGGGTGCAGGTAGAGTTTTATGTGAATGAAAACACCTTCAAGGAGCGTCTGAAGCTTTTCTTCATCAAAAACCAAAGATCAAGTAAGTGTAGGCCATCTTCTCACGTCCCTGCATTAGCTGATGCATAACTGAAAGAGCCCATTAAAGGACACCTCACAATAAAAGCAATATCCGTAAATTCATGCTTAATGACACCCGGATGCATACAGACAAACACAACAGCAGTGTAGAATCCCACAAGTGTCTTTCTTAGCAACCATAGATTGAAAGAGAATTACCACTGTGCTGCACTTACTGTAAATCTACACACATATAAGCGCATATATACACTGATGTTTCTTACAAGTCACAATAAAGCCCATTTTTGCTGCTGCTGTCGTGTTGTTTGTTATATTTGTTTAGAAAAGAGGTGCCTCTCTCATCTTTAGGTCTTAGGATTCGTGTATTCAACTTCTCACTGAAGCTGCTCACCTGCCTGCTGTACATCATCCGAGTGGCAACAGACAACCCTGGTCAGGGCGCCAGCACCAATCACACCGCAGGACAGCAAAACTCTCCCAGTGGCAACAACAAGTGGTTTGTTCACACTGAGAGAAAAGTGTCTAAGTAAAGATTTATTTAAAGCGCCCAGGAGTGTCTCAACAACTGGTGGTGGAGGATGTATTCAGATCCTTTATGCGAGTAAAAGTACTAATACCACACTGTAAAAATAAAGTACAAGTCTTGCATGTCTCTTATTATTGCTCGTGCATTAATGCATGCATTCTACTGTTGTAGTTGGTTGAGGTGGAGCTCAACAGTTTTTATTTATAGTTTATATTTAATAGTTTTATTTTCTTGATTAACAGATTCATCGTTTGGTATCTAAAATTCTGAAAATAGTGAGAAATGCTATCACAATTACACAGAGCCCAATAGTACAAACCTCATTTAGAAATGTATTAAATTATTAAAATAATGAAAAAGAATAGCAGCCAATCCTCACATTTGAGAAGCTAGAATCATGAAATGTTTTTGCATGAAAAATTCAATGATTATTAAAATAGCTGCATATAATTTTTTTTTTCAATTGACTTATCTTTTCAGCTGTACTTGTACATTTTCATATCGTCATTAGCTGCCTAATAATTGTAGTAATGAAGACAAAAGTACAATATTTCCCCCTGTAGAGTAGAAAGTATCATGAAATGGAAATACTCAGGTAAATTACAAGCAAATTTGTACTTAAGTACAGTACTTGAGTATCGGTATCACTTCTCAACATACAAAGTAAAGTCAACAACAGAAAAACTAACAATAGTACAATTATGGATAAAACCTTAAAAGAAAAAAGTAGAGATAAAATATTAAAACAATAATATAGAGTGGTACAAGGAGACAGTTGAAACACAGATGTTTTGACTGTGTTGCTCTTCATTGCTTACAGGCGAGCGTGAAGAGACTGCTTCACTGGGTTAAATCAGCATGTATAAAACCTAATGAAAAACACTGCTTAAAGTCTGTATACTTTTCTCTTAATCTTACCATCATCACTTTTCTGCAGTGTTGACTGTCCGTGGAACGGATCAGTGCAGGACAGAGAAATTAACTGGTAAGCAGCAGAAAGTGTGATTTCTGTTTACAGGGACAAATCAATAGAAAAAGATTATGTAGACACTGGTAAGAGGGTTCTCTTTCGCTATCTCCTGCACTCACCTTATCAGTTTACTTGGCATGAGATGAGTGTTTATATTATGTGATCAATGTTAATTGGACAGATTGTCATATCTATTATCTCTTTTACTCTATTAATACCCATCCAAAGATCTTAGATATATAGCTTAGTTTGACTGTTTATCTCTCGCTGATGGTATAAAAACAGATAGCAATGTCTTTCTTCTCTAGTGTTGAGGATATTTATTTTTAACTGTTAATAAAAGAGCTGCTCTTGTATGCACCATCTGACAGGGGTTTGATCTTCTGGGTGGATAGAAAGGTGCCTGTGTGGGCCATTCAAGTAAGTACATGTACAGAGAAGAATAACAATTAAATTAAATAAGCAAAACCTTTATAAACTGAAGTCTATGAATGGGGTTGAAATATTTGAAAAATCAAATATGCTTGACCATCCAAACAATTGTGAAAACACTGAATACATGAGTTTGTGTTTATTATTTCCTGTGCACAGGTAATTGTGGCCATCATTAGTTTCCTGGAGACTATGTTACTGATGTATCTGAGCTACAAGGTAACGCACAATATTTGTCTACAATATTTATTGCTCTATGGTCCCTATGGAGTCTCCGCTGTACCCCCTACCAGGTCATTCTCTACTGGCCTAAATATGTGTAACCATCTTATTAGATGTTAAACTCTAATGCTACATAAGTCATGTTGTAATACTTTCTAAAGGGGAGACAGTCAGTTTGTCTGAAACAAAATGAAGCTAATCTTAAACTTAGCTTGCCTAGGAGAAGGACGACAGAGTTCGGCCTTATCAAGGCAGCTGTGTCAGTCTAGTCATCCAAACATACAGAGAGGAGAGACAGTGTAACTCATTGCTGTGGAGAGTCACACGCTGTGAGCTTTGGCTTACTTTAGCTCTGCAAATGACCCTAACTTGACCTGGGGAAACTCTGTGATATTACCCTTAAAGAAGGAAAATCACTTCATAACACAGACTTGAAGCACATCAGTATGATTACAAAATACAGGCTGTACAAAAGCCAGTACAGTCTGTGAGACTGACAATCTATAAGTGGTGTAATTAGCCCAAGTCATTTGTCACAGCTACATTAAGACAGACTGTAATTACAGGATCTTGTTGAGGTGAAGGATTAAGTGTTTGTGGAAAGTGACAGACTACAATTAATATATAAATGTAGTCTGTCTGCAGTGACTCACTGTCTATTGTGTGCTTGTAGGTAAAACTGTTAAAAAGTCTGTGCATGTTTTTTAATTTCAGGGGAACATTTGGGAGCAGATATTCCAGGTGTCCTTCCTTTTGGAGATGATCAACACAGTTCCCTTCATCATTACGGTAAAACATTTACCACAACTGAAATACTCATTATCCTATTATCCATAACTATTTCCCTCTAGTTAACCACCTACTTGTTTAACTTTGCTTTTAACCGAGGAAATGTTTACTCTGTTTTGTTTTTGTTTTTGTTCAAATTCTTACAATGCTAGCCTTTGGCGATCCACTAACTTTTCTACCAGCATCACCATCAGCTTTTAATTTGTCCAATAGTAGTTTATCACCAATACCTGCAAAACTAACATTCCCATCACCCTCAGCTGTACTTTGTGTTAAGTGCTAATTAGCATTGCAAACACGCTAATCTAAGATGGCAAACATAGTAAACAGTATCCCAGCTTAGCATGTTAACATTGTCACTGTGAGTGTGTTACAGTAGCATGCTGACATTTAGCTCAAAACGCCGCTGTGTCTCAGCCTCACAAAATTGCAGGCTTAACTGTCGACTCTTATTTGACTTCATATTCACACAGTGTTAGCCTTTGTGAATAAAAGCCATACAAAAGTATTGTAAGTCAGACTGAGTTACATGGGCACAGAATTATACAGAATTTGAAGACATACCTCTGCACCACAGTCATTTTGGGTTTTAAAACGTTAGATAATAAAAGCAGGTTATAATTTATTTACTTTTTTTTTTTAACGGGTTAAGCATTTAGGCCACAATGCATACAGTTTTTCCCATTGGTGTGCAGTTTTTAATGTGTGATTAACATGGTTGAAGAAAGGTTTAACTCAGAAATGTTATCCACTAGTAAGTTGAAGTTTCTCACTTTCTCCTCAGATCTTCTGGCCCTCAATAAGGAACATCTTCATTCCCGTGTTTCTCAACTGCTGGTTGGCCAAGTGTGCTTTGGAGAACATGATCGTGAGTCAACAGCTTTAGCTTAACTGTTTCTGTTCTTGACTTGTTTTTAATGAACATTTAATGACTTTAAGGCAAGACGCTCTGAGTCACACTATGCTGGGTCAGCTGACTAATTCATACAGGCCTTCATGCTCACAGTCATTCATACTGCGGCTGCAACAACACATCCTTCTCCTGCTTTGGTTCTGCTCTGAGTGTGTGCACCCTGGAGGGCTTCCACTGGGGGATCATTTGCAATCATCTCAGCATTTTATCATGTTGTTCTCTATTTCATGCTGCTTGGCTGTATTTCTGCAGCAGGAAGCATCCAATAGTAGAACCATAATGCCATACCCATTTGTAATAAACAGCTCAACTAATGATGTGAGAACTGAACTGACATCAGTGATCATAGAAAACTTTTGATAGATGCAAGTTGATGCCTTTATTTCATATGAGCTGAGTTTGTAGCTTCAAATGTTCTTTGTGCTGTTGTTATTGGGTAGAATGATGTCCACAGAGCAATCCAGAGGACCAACTCAGCCATGTTCAACCAGGTCCTCATTCTCATCTGTACCCTGCTCTGCCTGGTCTTCACTGGGTGAGGCTGCAGTTTGTAAGGTCCTTCTGTCATTCTTTAGTGTGAACAACTATTTAGGTTGCATTTGATGTTTCATTATATATACATATATAATATATTCATATAAACACCTCTCTGACGCAATCTCAGCAAGAGCTGTATGTTTTAAGCTTTATAGGTTGCAGAGCTTTTGTATTATATTGCATTGCATTGGAGACATGTCTATAATAGTGGATGGCTTGATGGATTCAATGTTGATAGCGCTTTATCTTGAATACTCAAAGAATTTCGAGGTGAAGGGGAAACTCACCTCAACTACCACCAATGTTTAGCACCCACCTTGACGATGCACAGGAGCCATTTTAAGCCAAAGCGTTTACCACAGAGCAGCTTGACGTGGAGAGGGAGGGGAAACATAGAGCTAATTACACAGTGATTAGCCAGCTAACATCAGATAGCAAAACCAATTTCAGCATCATGAAAGCAACAAGGACAATTGTTAAATGTTGGTGAAACTTTCCTTTTCGGGTCCATAAATTCTTAATAATTTTTAAGGAAGTTTCCTGGAAAGAAAGACTCATGTCATTTGGTACTAATAAAAGAGAAAACGAGCAGGATCAGTTGGTTCACTTTCAATTAATTCAAAATCCTAAGATAGCATAACTCTGGGACTTAGTTAGTTCACTGCAGGCCAGTTGAACAGGAAAAAGTGTGACATTAGTCTACAAGCAAACAGACAATTTTCATAATAATAGACATTTATTTGAGTTTAAAAAGAACAACATTGTAACTGTAATTAGTACCAAATTACATAATTCTTTATATGAAACTTTCAAGAAATATTAGTAAATAATGGACCTGTAAATAAAATAAAGGGAATTGATAAACCTGTGTGATGTTGAGAATAAAATAAGCTAGCAAAAATAAAAATAATAGTAAAAATGAATCAAGTTTTAAGTTATTTTATCAAGTGACTGTCAGTAGAGGAAGTCAAATCAATAAAATTGCTGCCAAATAGCAGAAACAAAAGAAAAAAAAGAGAAAGGTTTTATTTTTCCAGCTGATTAAGCTTTAAAAATGTGTTTTCAATGCATTTAAATGATATAAATAACTGTATTATTTATTGATATATCCCATTAAACTTTTGACTGAGTTCATTGTGTTTCTTTGTATACATGGTTTGTCTAACCTGCTCTACACAGCACATGTGGAATCCAGCACCTGGAGCGAGCGGGCAAAAATCTCACCCTCTTCAATTCCTTCTACTTCTGCATTGTCACCTTCTCAACTGTGGGCTTTGGAGACGTCACTCCCCGCATATGGCCCTCCCAGCTCCTGGTGGTCATCATGATCTGTGTGGCTCTGGTGGTGCTACCTCTGCAGGTAGGAAGGTGTCGAAATAATCTTTGGCAAATTCTGAATGTTCCTCTGTGAGTTCTAGTTTCACTCAGCTTGTTGTGTGTCAGTTTGAGGAGCTGATGTACCTGTGGATGGAGAGACAGAAGTCTGGAGGGAATTATAGCCGCCACAGAGCGCAGACAGAGAAACACGTAGTGCTGTGTGTCAGTGCACTAAAGATAGACTTGCTCATGGATTTCCTCAATGAATTCTACGCCCATCCTAGACTGCAGGTACCAAACAACACAAAATAAGCACATGCATTTTTATACTCCAGGGTATACATATAGGATGTGATAATGGTCTCCGTGGTGTATTTCAAATTATATATAAAGGGGAACATACTTATTGTGATTATATGACAGTAACTGAGACACTTAAGGACATTTGTAGCTAGATTTTATGACTTCCACATGTTTCTTAATGCGTTAAAGTAGTTCTTGTGTAATCTTGAAGGATTACTATGTGGTGATCCTGTGCCCAAGTGAAATGGACCTCCAAGTGCGGAGAGTGCTGCAGATCCCTTTGTGGTCACAAAGGGTCATCTATCTGCAAGGATCTGTTCTCAAAGACCAGGACCTGCTAAGAGCCAAGTAAGTGACAGATCCTAAAAAACCTCTGAGCCCAGAGAAGGACGACTTTCTACAGTTATGATGGATTCACAAACTGTTGGGGGCGCTATAAGTAAACATCACCACGGTTCTAGGAATGGCAATGTCTATTTATAATCTGTTTATCAGTCTTTCGGCTTGTTTACCAACTGGTCCAGACTAAAATATCTCAACGACAAAATTACCATGAAATTAGTGTAGACTTTTATGGTTTGTAGAGGATGAGGCCCACTGACTTTGGTGATCCCCCAAATCCAATAAATACTATTTTTAATATATTCTGGATATTCTGTATAAAGGTGATCTAACAAAATAATTACAGAAGTATTGATAATAAGACTTCTACCAATGAAGCAATATTAGATGTCTCGTAATAAATTATTAATTAATAATTTGTGCCTGCCTGTTGCCTCAGGGAGGACCCTAAAGTAAGCAGTGAATAATGGTGTATGGATTGGAAATCTCACCACCTTGTCAAAAGATTTTTAAAAAAATTATTTAATTAAAAACAGACTTTCGATACAGGCCTCACTGAGCTGCCTGTGTGGCTGCACACTCTTTGTCTTGTTGCTGAGACCCTGTGTGGCTGACAAAGACTTTTCTTTACCACACAAATCCAGCTGTTCTGAGAAATTACACTGATTTGTCTAATTGCTAAAATTGCCATAATTGAAGGTGAAACAAATCATCTGTTTTTGCTATCTCCATTGATAATAGGTCTCAGTTCAGTTCAATCTTTATTGCAGCTTTAATGTCCCTTAAGGGGAAATTAGATTTACAATAGAGGGCTAAAAACAGAAAACAAGCAAACATACATGAGACATGGGACATTAAAAAAACCCAAAGCCGTTACAGTGTACAACATCTGTTTGTTCGTTCGAAGGTACTCTGACAGCTGAGATTGTAGCCTCACCACCATAAAGTGCTTCTGAGCAGTGCACTCAATAGCTCAGGCTCAGTGCAAATTTAGAGCATTTATTGCCATTTAGGTGCAAAGGAAATTTTTCCCAGAGGGGAGAAGAACAACTAATTTCTCCAAGAGTGGGTAGTCAGAGCTGGCTGTGATGGTTTGCATAATTTATAGGGTTTTTGCACTTAAGTTTACTTAAATCAAATTGTCTATAGTGATTTATTTTATATTTTGCATTTTGGCCAGGTATTGATAATTGCCATAAACCACCAGTAGGATATGAATCTCTATTGTCCTTCCGTTCCTTAATGTCGACCAGATATTCTCTCATTCCTATCTCAGTAAATAGGCTTGTCAGAGCTTTCTCATATTCTGACTACACTATAATTATTCATTCAAGCTATACCCATTTTTTTTGAGACTCATTCTTCTGATAATTTTAACTCATGAAAGTGTTTTGAATGAGACTATGTGGGAAAAAATGTACACTGATGAAAAAAAATTTAAATACTGCTGTCAATCTGTCCAGTTTATTTATCAAATGCATGTCTCAAAGTACTTTACAGAGATATAACCAAGCTTAAGGGTAAATCCAACTGATTTTACATATACAGGACAGTTTATTTGTCATTGCCAATGTGTGGCTCTGGATCAGTTTTCTCAAGTGAAAGAATATAACCCTGCCGATATCCTCAGACACCCTGCATTACCAAGGAAAGTTAAATCAAGGGCAACTTGGTTGAAGAACTGGAAGATGTTTTGCTTCTAATCCAAGAGACTTCTTCACTGAAAAAGACTGTTTGGATGAGAGGCCTTTTGGAGGAGAGGCGAAACGTCTTCCAGTCTCTTTAACCAAGTCAAGTTACCCTTTATTTAACCTTCCTTGGATAACTATGACCTGGACTAAGAATCTTCACATCCTGCATTAACAGGAACTAAAAGCAAAGATATCTACACCTCTCCTGCTTCAATTTGACCATTCTTTGAGTCCCCCAAAATGTATAAAAGTGCAATAATAAAACAACAAAAAGCAAAGATATAAAAAACACGATAGTCCAACACTTATACCATCTCACACCAAACAAGTATTACTTTGATAAAATCGGTTATATCTTCACTGTATACATTTGGCAGGCTTGTGATAGAGCAATTAGAAGTAGAGGACTGGGTGTGTGTGGAGCTTACATCCTGCATCTGGCACCATTTCAAATCCTCCCACACTTGTTTTGCAGTCTGCACTCTCCCGACTGTGTTAATCGTATGCAAAAACAGTTCCACCTTCACAGTACATATACAGTGCAGAGCATTTTAGGTTAATCTTGTGTGTTTGTCTATATGCAGGCAATTTAATATTGAATGAAAGGATGTTGCTGTTGTCTCTTACTCTGACTGGTCAAAGTTAATTTCAGTAGAGTTTTGATTGGCTTACTCTTCTGTGGCAGGATTTGTATTTTTACCCCAGCTGTTTTGTATGACTTTGTTCTGTGATTTGCCAACTTGCCTCGCTGCTGCAGAATGGATGACGCAGAGGCTTGTTTCATTCTAAGCAGTCGTAACGAGGTGGATCGCATGGCTGCGGTAAGAACAACAATAATGAATGAACTCTTTGCCACAATGCATTATCAGTTATGAGTTGTTGTTTATTTGTTTGTCATTAATGCTGTCAGTCATGAAGACAATTACTAATTAATTAAATATAGTAATGTGAAAATGCAACTCTTTGAATGTTTTCCTTCAGGACCATCAGACCATCCTGAGAGCCTGGGCAGTAAAGGATTTTGCTCCAAATTGTCCCCTTTATGTCCAGATACTCAAACCTGAAAATAAGTTCCATGTAAAATTTGCAGGTGAGAGTTTCCAAACAATTATTCCCTTTCTGGCCGAGAGTTAGATGAGATATTTGCTTCCACTCTCTACTTATCACCACTCTGCCACTTATGTCTGTCCGTTAAAGCTAAAATAATCAGTATTCTTATATTATGATCACATTACTACTTGTAGCCTATATGAAATGGGTCACTCGTAGTAATAATCCCTCCGAGAACTATTACCAAATCTGCACTTTCCCCAGCTCTACCGAATCTGTTGCACTATAACTGTGCATGCAGACCAAACGTGACTTTAATCCACACGTTGCTTTCTTCTCGGGGGTTTCATTGCCCTACTACTACTGCTGAGTGTCGCGATAATGCGAATAAACACAACCCGCGATTACTACAGCAGTATGAACCCAAAACAAACATTCTGCTGTTTGTTTAAATAAATTAAATTGCAATAATTGCCGAAATAACTATAACATGATGCTGATTTTACTTTTAAAATGTTTGTTTTCTGAATGGAGTTCAGATCGGTCAGGGCTATGCTTTGCTAACGTGTTCACAGTAAAGTACAACTATAGCTGGAATCATTAACAGTCACAAATTTTCTGAATTCAGGCATTCTGGAAGAGTTAGCAACTTGGTGAACAAAGTGGAGCACTTAGCTGCTAAAGAGCCAGATGTTTCCCTCAGGTGTTGGTGGAGACAAAAACAGAGTTAAAAGGAGAGTGAATATTGGACTTACATTCATCAGACAGCCAGAAATATGACTCCAAATGAAGGATATGTTGCTTTGTATTTGACATAGGCAACTGTTTGCTAACAAGTTTGCTTTCTAGAAGAAAAAAGGTGAAAATGTATCAGTTTTGTGTTTACAGCTTGTTCTGCTTCTCCCGATTGGCCAAGAAATGGACAAGCATAAAAAATGAGGCTAGAGCTGGGAGTCAGCTTAGTTTAGATTAGCATAAAAAATGGGGAAACAACTAGCCTCGCTTTATCCAAAGGCAACAAAACCTGCCTACCGTCACCTCAAAATCTCCCTAATTTATAGGTTATATGTTGTTTGTTTCAATTCAATTGTACATATATAGCACCAATTTATAACAGACGTGTAGACATTGTACTTGTCATATAGAGCAGGTCTAGGTCTTTTATTATTTTCAGAAACCCAACAATTTGCACCATGAACAAGCACTTGGCGACAACGGCAAAGAAAAACTGCCTTTTTAACATGCAGAAACCTCAGAACCTAGACTCAGGGTGAGCGGCCAAATGCCTCAGCTGGTTGGGTTGAGAGGGGTGGGGGGGGGGGGGGGGGTGAGCTGGAAGAACGAGAACACACTGTAGCCCTATGCAAGTTCCACAAAAAGATGTAAAATAATAGTAATGGTAGCGGTAATAACACAAATATCAATAGAACTCAGATACAGCTCTGGAGGAAGAAATACCTACAGAAAGTGATAGGAGGAGAGACGAGAAAGCACAAAACTAAGGGAGAGGGAAGAAGTCAAGTTAGTGACTGTTAGGAGGACAGAGGAAGTCACTGCATGTGTAATCCATTTCAGAAACATAAATGTTTAAACTACAAGTTGTGGTTTTACAATGAGTTAGTTGCTTTAACTCTCTCTGGGCACGTTTACTTTCTTGTTGCTATGCAACCAGGAAATCACTAATAGCAGGTACCTCTACACAGCTTGTCATTTTTACACTGTGATCTTTCTAAGGATTAAGCAAACAAGATATAATCTGTTAATCAGCGTGCTTCAGAGGTAGTAGGTGTGTTTTCAAACTTTGGTGAAAGCTACTCTACCTTAAGATAAGATAAACTTACACTAGAGCTTTATCTAACACTTGGCCAGAAAGCCAATAAGCACAACTACTAACTTGTAATATTTGTATTCCAGCCCCTATGATCATCTCATTTTCTTCTTTTCAGATCATGTTGTGTGTGAAGAGGAGTTTAAATATGCCATGTTGGCTCTCAACTGTGTGTGTCCAGCCACCTCCACTTTGGTCACGCTCCTTGTTCACACCTCCCGCGGACGGTCAGTCATCTTACATAACCAGGGCCCTCCTCAGGTTTTTTTTATTTCTCCTTAGTGTGATTGCAAAGTTCAAATTTCTTCACATGTTCATGGTCTTGTATACAGCTTCCATGGAACTGGCACAGAGAGGTGAATATGCCCAAGTAAAGACAAACGTCTTGGGTCCTTTTGGAAAACGTCAGGCAGTAAAGTAATGCAGTGCATTAAAACAAAAAAAAAGAGAACAGGCGGAACACACAGTAAATGGATTTTCTGGGATGTGTGCTCTGTGTGAAAAGCTCTTCGGTGGAAAATGATTTTTCACAGCATGCAAACAGATCACTTTTAAAAGCTGATGCCAGTGACTGAGAGGAACCACATTCAAGGGGAATCAATGGGCTATAGAGCACTTACTGTGTTCCTGAAAACTCTTTAGAAAGCAAAGCTTTGTGCATTTGTGTTAGATAAAGGTCTTGGGGCTTTAAGATTGCACACACCAGCCACAAATGTGTATGAATGTGTATTATACTTGTCTAAATCTGTATGAGGGAGTGTGTTTATGAAAAGGTGCATTTTATGTGTACATTTGCATTGCATGAGTGGGCGTCTCTGGGTGCACGAGCAGATCACAAAGGATGTTCGGTGGGGAAATACGTTTAAAAGGGGGATACTGATGATAATGATCATATTGTTTTTGTCTTTTATGATGAATTGCAGTATGGAATCCAGAAAGTGTGAAATACCATGTATAAGTCATCTTATGTAAACTTGAATAACACTCAGTATCAAGAAAAAAGCATGTAAACTGCTACGTCCCTTGGGGTTGTTCTGAGCATCTCTCCTAGCCCATTAAACAACAATTACAGAAATTACTGTAAGCCATTACAAAGGCCATATTAGAGCCAAGCTGACTGACAGACAGATTGGTCAAGCTCTCTGCTTTCACCAGAGAACCCAGGAGACCCAGCACACCCCTAAGGGTCTGAAGGTATGTGGAAGACGAGATGGAGAGTTCTGCGAATGACGTTAATGATTGTTCCTGAATAGATGTTCTCAAAAGCTGGGTTTCACTGTTCAGACTTTGTCAAGACTACATGAATAATAGCATATGTGGTAAAAGAAATCTGATTTACTGATCCGTTATATGTTTGATTGTATTTCCCGTGAATGAATGCAGAGAAGGACAACAGTCTCCAGAGCAGTGGCAGAGGATGTACGGATGTTGCTCCGGCAACGAGGTCTACCACATCCGACTGTCTGACAGCAAGTTCTTTGGAGAGTATAATGGCAAAAGCTTCACATACGCCTCCTTTCATGCTCACAAGAAGTGAGTTGACATGTCAGCTAAAGCATGTCCTTGTCAGATGCTGACAAGTTGAAAATGTACCAAACCATTTGCAGAGGTTGTTACATATTTGTTCCTGCTCGTTCTTTGACCTAGTATCATCTTCTATAATCAAGGCTCTCAAGTTTTATCAAACGTTTGGAGTGAGTGTGTTAGAGGAGGAGCCACTCAAATATTTGCAGCAGTGGCCAATTCTCTCAACCTTTTAGTAGCAGTTAAATTTGACCTCTAGTTCATAATTGACACAAACAATAGAAATTAGAACAATAAGTAAAAGAGAAAAGTCATCTTCTCTCTCTCTCTCTCTCTCTCTCTCTCTATATATATATATATTTTATTTTTTTTTTTTTTTATTATATACTTGTACCCAAACGAGCCCACTGAACAGCAATACTGTACACATACCTACAGTAGGCTGTGTGTGTAAGTAGGCTACACATTTCAGCTTATGAATGGTGTTTTGTGTTGTAATTGTTTGTTGCACATTTTAATGCCTTGATGACAGGGGTAGGGGGCTCCCACTTGAAGCACTGTGGCCATATTCATCATGATGGATAATAGCTTTCTGTACAGAGCCAAAATATCTCTAGTCCTTTTCTTAGTTTCAGTTAGCCAAAGCTAAGGCCAGTGGTGGACACTAACAAAGTAATACTGTACTAAACAAGGTATTTGTACTGAACTTGAGTATTTTTGTTTTCATGCCACTTTCTGCTTCTATTCCACATCTCAAAGGGAAATATTGTACTTTTTATTTATCTGTCAGCTTCAGTTACTAGGTACTTTAAAAAATAAGCTTTTTACACACAAAACATATGAAGAGTTTAAAAACAGTTTATACAAGTCCAGCTATTAGAATTACATCAGTTAGGCTAATTGACAGAAATTGAATTGGCAACTGCTTTGGTATTAGTCATTTTTTATGTAAAAACATTTCATGGCTCCAGCTTCACAAACGTGAAGATTTGCTCCTATAGTATTTACAGTGAGGTATTGGTAGGGCTACTTTTATTTTTTTAAAGGATCTGAATAGGCCTAAGTTAGGCTTACTTTGCTCACCACTGGCTAAAAAAGCCAAAGCTGCTGGTTGCAAAGAGGTTGGAGAGGTTTCTGCCGCTCTCACTATCTTTGATCACAGCCTATGGGTCACAGGCAAGTGATTTCGCCCAGGAATCGTAAAATCAAAATGCGGTAAAATAAAAAATAAATAAACCTACAGTTACCGCATCCATCAGGTCTTGCGCTACCAACTTCCACTCCCTGTGTGCGCGTGCATCCATGTTACCTGGTGACGAACGTGCTTGCAGCGGGATCACGGAGTTTACCCGGAAACAACACATTTTAATTTCTGATCGGCTTAAGGGCTCTGGCATTCATTAGGCTACAGAGAAAGCTATGAACTCAGCACAAAAATGATCGTCCATTAATTTAATATAGCGGCACGACTTAGAGGACGTTACCTCTTAACTTCTCAGCGTGAGAAATACAAGGTGTGTCATGTGAACTGGCTGTGTTGCACGGTGAAAGCGTGAGGCTTGAGAGCCCTGTCTATAATGAAGTACAGCAGCAGTGCACTGCTGTTCTTTTGCCTTAGTTTGATACACATTGTGTGCAGATAAATAAATGTGAAAAGAACATCAACTTTTTTGATCATAATGTAGGTTCTATTGGTTAAAACAGTTTTTCAGCTCACTGCTACATAGGTTAGCTAAGCCTATCATAAAGACTGAAAACAAGGGGAAACAGCTCATCTTAATTTGGTTCTGTCTGAATGTAATAAAATCTGGTGCAATTAACACATTGGACCTCAAGTTGAACAACATTTTTTATTTTTATAGAGTTATGCGCAAAATAGTGTAACTATTTTGACATTTTGAGAAATGCGCTTTCTTGACGAGAGTTAGATGAGAAGACATCACTGTGATGTCTGTATGCTATATGGTATAACTAGCAGCTTAGTAGCTTAGTTTGGAAAAAAAGATGGGAAACAGTGGGAAACAGCTAGTCTGGCACCTTCTCAAAATAACAAATTACACCTAACAGCACCTATATAGCGCACCAATTGACACATTATATCTTGTTTAATTCATTAAAAACCCACAGTGTAAAAACGCCTATTTGTGGTTTTAGAAAGGGTAACATGCCAGACCATTTCTTGTCCGACTTGTCCTCATCTTATAATCATCGTGAGGTTGCCAGGCATATAATGTGTTAATTAGTAAGCTTTAGAGATGTTGGTGGACAAAGCCGAGCTAGCTGTTTCCACTTGTCTCCTTTCTTTATGCTAAGCTAACTCTCAGCAAGAAAGCAAATACCATTAAGTGTATTTCCCAAAATATCGAACAATTCCTTTAGGCCTCAAGTATGAATTCTGAGCTATGAAGTACTGTCTTTTTATGACTTTAAATGTAATGACAAGACTCTACTGTCAGACATTTTCTTCAAGTGCATGCTAACAGCAGGTATGCGACGTGCAGGTACGGCGTGTGTCTGATCGGTATAAAGAGGGAAGACAACAAGAGCATTCTGCTGAACCCTGGCCCACGCCACATCATGGCTGCCACAGACACCTGCTACTACATCAACATCACCAAGGAGGAGAACTCAGCCTTCATCTTCAACCAGGAGGAGAGGAAGGGCCGCACTGCTGGGGGAATCTATGACGGACCCTCACAGCTTCCTGTGCACAGCATCATCGCTAGCATGGGTGAGTGTCATGAACTGCTCTTTTTAATGAAGGGGGTCTGAAAGGTATTGAGGAATTTGGATTGACTGTGGAGACGCTGTTTCATTATGTGTGATTTAAAGCTCAGGTGAATATAATTTACAGGCACTGTTGCCATGGATCTTCAGAATACGAGTCCACCTGACACCTCAGGGGGTAGACTGGTCCCACCTACAGTAAATGGAACAGGGAGCCGCCGGCCGAGCATCGCTCCAGTTCAGGAGATCGCAGACTCCTCCTCAATACTGCCATGTGACCTCCTCAGTGACCAATCAGAGGATGACTCCGTTTTCACAGATGAGAAAGGCCACTCATCTACTGAGTAAGGTTTCTGTTTCTCTGTGTGTAAAAGAATGCAGATAATTTAAATACCTAAACACAAGGAAACAGAGAAAATAACACAGGCTATTATATAGTTTACAAAATGTTATATGCAGCAGTGGAAAGAGTGCTCAAATGTCCTACTCAAGCATAAGTGTGAAACCGAAGTTAACTTAAATATTACTCAGGTAGAAGCTAAAGTTCCTGTGCTTATAAGCTTTCGTAAGTAAAAGTACAAATTACTTTGAGCAAAAGTTACTTATTAGTCTCCTAGTATTAATAAATTATAGATAGGTTGTCTGTGTCTTCCAGTAATGGAGTGAGGAAAGTAAAATTTGATATATTCAAACTTTTAGTTGAGTATTTCTGTTATATGGTACTTTATACTCCTTCTTCACTGTTTTATAATCATATCACCTACACAGGAGGCAATTTTTCTGCACAACTATACTTTTGATACTTTTAAGTATATCTATATCAGTACTTTTATTTAAGACTTTGAATTCAGGACTTTTGCAAGTAATGGGGTGTATTTATATTGTGCCATTGCTACATTTACTTACTGTAAGTAAAAAAAAAACACTGGTGCTGTACTACTTTCACATACTTTTGCTTAAATTGAACGTATATGTAGGTAATGTTCTGACATGTATCTTAAATCAGATTGTGCCACTTTTGTATAAACTTGTTTTTTGTTTTTGTATAAAGTCAAACTGGCTTTTAGTTCTACAGCAGGCTTCAGTTAATTAATGTTGCATTAATGTTATATTTAATTATTTCAAATAATTAAAACCACAGTAATTTAATATATGCTAAACCTGCAATATGCTAATTAAGCAAACAATCATACATAATCAAAATGAGTTGAGTTTCTTTGCTATTATGCAACCTCCCAAAATATCAAACCAAAGCTAAACAAAATATTTACCCATACTTACCTGTTAGCATTCTGTAAATAGTTTACCCAGCATGCAGTTGAACCTGCTGATTTCCAAGGTAACATGAATAAATGAGTGAATTCTACATATTGTGAAAATGACCTCTAAATGTTCTCTTAACTTCCAAACGACTATTGAAATGCTAGAAGCCATTTTTTTCTGGTTAGAACAAGAAATTACAAGAAAACCTGACCAATGTTTTTAACATAGTATGTTTCCATGAAATGTGTCATTCATGCTTTTTTGGATTTGTTGCCAGGTATGTGAAAGGTTATCCCCCTAACTCTCCGTACATTGGGAGCTCGCCCACCTTGTGCCATCTGTTGGCTGAAAAAGCACCATTTTGCTGCCTACGACTGGACCAGGTGGGCAGTCGCTGTTCCTCCAACTTAGTCACTCAGTTACTTACTGCCTTCATCATTCCTTCCATTCCTTCCCTCCACTCTCTGTCCTTCAAAGAGCAAACTGAGATACCTGCCTGTTTTTTCTTTTGGTTCTCTATGCAGGGTTGCAGGCACAACAGCTTTGAGGATGCTAAGGCTTATGGTTTTAAAAACAAGCTCATTATTGTGTCTGCTGAGACTGCCGGGAACGGTCTCTATAACTTCATAGTGCCTCTCAGAGCTTATTACAGACCCAGAAAAGAACTCAACCCTATTGTCTTGCTGTTGGATAACCCGTGAGTTCACCTTAACACACACTCACACACACATTGTTCCTTTCTCTCCCCTTCACTCTGTCTTTAACTATTTCACGCTGGGAAATGTGTGCTAAAATCTCACGTCAGCCCAGCACTTAGGACAAGGCTGTGGAGGTGGAACTCCATTGTCGGTCCTGATGTTAGGTTACTGCAGCTGCTAACAGTGACGGTATGTTTTGAGCGACAAAGAAAATAAAAATGCTGCGCTCTGTAGCTCTAGACAGTAACCATAGCAACCTGCTTTGCCTTGAACCTGAATGATATATATTGCTAAAAGGGGAGAAAAAGATGAAGGTAATGATTTCTTTGGAGAACACCAACACGCTTTCATTGACAACCCTGATGTGTCCCTTTTCAGCCCCCACATGTGAGCTCTCAGGACACTCATAGAAACGCACACATAACAATAAACTCTCCCTCCATGCAGCTCTTTCTCCCTGCCTTCCTATCGCTGTTGCGCACACACACACACACACACACACACAAATACAAACACCCACACACTTGGATACACAATGAAAGCACTTACGACAGCCTTGGGTCTCTAGTCAGCGGGACTGGGCAGATGCATAAAGTAATGTTCTGTCAGGGGTGGTGGTGGTTGAGGACAGGAAATAATAAAGCAATCTCTCTGAGCACGCTCAGTACCAGATGGACCCATCCCTCAGCCTAAAGACACACTAAGTGGGGACATAACATTATAATAACATTTATTGTACATTGCAAGTAAACAGTTTTTGAGCAAAACGTCAAATAAGTTGTTCACCAAAAATCAGAAGAAAGAAAATAAATGCCACGAGGCTAAAGTTAATCCTGATTAATATATTTTCTTTTACTCATATTCAAAGCTTTATATGTTTCTCGTAGGCCAGATAATCACTTTCTGGAGGCCATCTGCTGTTTTCCTATGGTCTACTACATGGCTGGGACCATAGACAAGTAAGACTGTCACATTACCTTCTGCTTTTCATATTACATTTATTTTCTCATTAAAATGCAGTATATTGAAGGGGAGTTTGCACTTCTCTAAGATTTAATTGGTTGCACAGTATGTTCCAGGTAAATTGGTGTCTGCTGTTGTTATGCACATTGTAGCATAGTTTGTGTGTCTGCGTGTGTGTGTTTCAGTCTGGACAGCTTGCTGCAGTGTGGCATTATCTACGCTGATAATTTGGTTGTTGTGGATAAAGAGAGTACAATGAGTGCAGAGGAGGACTACATGGCTGATGCCAAAACTATTGTCAATGTACAGACGATGTTCAGGTAATCAGATTTGATCATGTTTATCATATATTATTCATGACATGGTCTTTAATTTCTTGACTTTATCATGAACTGTGTGTGTGAATCTGTATCTGGGCCTGCATTAGACACCCTGTGTGGACAACAGCAGCATTACTAAAAATATTTTAAAAGTTTGGTAAAACATTGTGATATTTAGTCTCATCTTCTGACTCTGGTTTGTTTATTTACTCTTTTTTTATAATCACTTTCTTTAATGTACCCTCTTCTCTCTTTCCAGGTTGTTTCCTAGTCTCAGTATTATCACAGAGCTTACTCATCCCTCCAACATGAGATTCATGCAGTTCAGAGCAAAGGACTGCTATTCACTGGCCCTCTCCAAGCTGGAGAAGGTACAACATAACAAGAGGGCTTACAGTGAAGTGTGTAGTATTATTATTCTTATTATGAACGTGATTTGTAAAGAGAAGATGTCGAAGATTTTTTTCTGTCGATTTTGTAAAACACACTTCATATTGTTGTCATGACTTACACTGATGAAAAGTGGCAGACCTTTAAATGCTGTGGACCCTGGCTCTCCCCCACAGAAAGAGCGTGATAAAGGCTCCAACTTGGCCTTCATGTTTCGCCTACCCTTCGCTGCCGGCAGAGTGTTCAGTATTAGCATGCTGGACACCCTGTTGTATCAGGTTGGTACACACCTACAGCTAAGCACCTCAGATGACACTTTTAAATACCACGTAAAAGAAATGTATGCGTCTTGCAGCCACAGAGAAACAGTATCACCTGAAGAAACAGAGCAGCATTACTACAGAAAGCAAAAGTGCCCTCTTGTGTTCAGTCTTTAATAGAGAACTCACTTAAGGTTCTTTATGTCCAATGCTTTTTTTAACTATAATAAACAAAGTTATAAAGTTATAAAAGTGCTTTTCTGTGATTCCATGTCAGTCTTTTGTGAAGGACTACATGATCCTTATTGCAAGGCTGCTGCTGGGGCTGGACACCACTCCAGGATCAGGATATCTCTGTGCCGTGAGTTAGACAGAAGAAAATAATCTAAAAGAAGAAAGAAATGATCGGATACATTGCCTTACTCCAGTTAATCTAACTAATAGTACTAATAGTACATGTATCTCTTGTTCCAGATGAAAGTAACCGAGGAGGATCTGTGGATTAGTACCTATGGCAGACTGTTCCAGAAACTTTGCTCCTCTAGTGCCGAAATTCCTATCGGGATCTATCGGACAGAATCCCACATTTTCTCAACCTCTGAGGTGAGATCTCAGAGATTATACTGTCAGTTGGATCAAGCGAAATATCCATCACGAATGCAAGAACATATTTATTACAAATAGCGTGTAATCTCTTGTTTGCAGCAGAGTCTGGACACATAAATAATGTATTATATAACATGATTAAGAGTCTAAAGCCATGCCAGTGCCGCTTTGAGTTAAATGCAAATATCAGAATGCTACAGTAACATGCTCACAATGACATTATCATATGCTGATCTTTAGCAGGCAATGTTTTAGAGCAATATTGCAGGGCAACGTTGCCGTCATTGGTAATGAGTAAAGATTACTACCATAATCCCCTTCCACCACTAGTCCGCCACCTGCCCCGCACCGCCGCTATCCGTTCAAAACATAGTCAGACTTGCCACTAGCAAGATTGCCCAGCAACATTGCTCAAAAAGTTGCCCCGTGTATAATCAGCTTTAGTTAAGCATGTTAGCATAGGCTCAGAGGTATTTGATAGGTTTTGCATAATCATAGTCTGGATAAATGTAACTTTGATCTGCTGGTGTTGCTAGATGAAAAGCTCCATTCATCCTGTGGAGGTTATGAACGTCTGAACGAAATTTCATGCCAATCTATCCAAACGTTGCTGCAACATTGTACTCAGAACCACAAATGTAGGTTGTTGTGCATGAAGTAAGTTGCTCACCAAAATCATTAGGATTCATGGTCTGGGAACCATAAATTTGCAAACCTAATGTTATATCATCCATTTATTGAAACCTTTAATCTGCTTGTGGTGCTAGATTAAAAGTCAGAGGATGACCAAAGTCAGTAGGCGTTTGCCTCTGGGGACGTAAATGGTTGATCAAATATTTCTAGACCAAATGCTGAACAACTGACTTCTAGATCTCTAGAACCACACTGCTAGTAAGAACTATTATTAAAGTCACCTGAGAATTATTGTTTCAGTTTTCCTGAACTTATTATGATGAACATTCTGGTCGTAAAGGTAACTTCCTGTCTCCCAAAACCAGTCACAGGTGTCAGTCAGTGTTGACGACTGCGAGGACACCAAGGACAGGGGGGACGAGTCTCGCAGCAATGACCAATCAGATCACCCACTTCTGAGGAAGAAGAGCATGCAGTGGGCACGGCGTCTGAGTAAGAAAAGTGTGAGGTGGCAGGGAGTGAACCGGGACTCGAGCAGGGACCACGGCCAGCGCATCGCTCAGCAGCGCCTCAACCTCTACCGACGCTCTGAGAGGGAAGAGCTCTCTGAGCTGGTCCGCAACCGCATGAGGCATCTGGGCCTCCCCACCTCTGGATATGGTAAATATAGACACAATTTTAACTGATAAAGCCAACTTCTCACAACTTTCTTGTCCCAAACTTGTCTTCTTATGCTTAGTTTTTTTTCTGTTTGTTGTCTAACTGCTTTTGTAGAAGACCTAACTAATCTGACAGCCAGTGATGTCATGAACAGAGTCAATCTGGGATACCTACAAGGTAAGCATTTAAGTTCTCCTTTAAGATCCTATGGCAGGCATAAATAAGATCATAAAGATGTGATTATTACAGTTTGCTGATTGAGACGATATTTCTGTTTCAGATGAGCAGAATGATCACCAAAACACCCTGTCGTACGTCCTGATTAACCCTTCTCCTGACACTAGGCTGGAGCTCAATGACATTGTGTAAGGATTACTCCTTTATTTTGCTCCAGTTGTGCTTGCGTGTTTATGCGTTGTTTAATACAAATAGTAATCTGTTTAAAATGTCACCCATTGAAAATAAGGCACAAAGGTGCTAATGTTTATTTCTCAGCTTTGTCATAGCCATCTTATTTTCGATGGTTGTGTATTACTGTGTACATCTTGTCAGAAATGAATCTAAGTGATAATCAAAGCAAAACAGTTAATGCAAAAAAATGTCAAAACACTTTCAGTGGATCCTCTGCCCGAGGATGTGCTGGTGCGTATGGGACTAAAAGGTCAGAAATATAACAAGGCGAGAGGCCATGAAGAGCTTTAAAAGTGATCAATAAAATTTTAAAGTCAATTCTAAAACATACTGGGAGCCAGTGTAATGAAGCTAAAATAGGAGTAATGTGGTTGTATTTCTTTGTTCTGGTTAAAAGCTTGGCAGCTGAGTTCTGGACAGTCTGGAGTCGATCAATAGATTTTTGGTTAAACAGGTGAAAAGGCTGTTGCAAAAATCCAGGCGTGATGAGATGAAGGCGTGTAAAATGGTCTCGGTGTCCTTAAAAGTTAACATAGATCGAATTTTTGCTATATTTCTAAGTTGATAAAAACACGATTGAACAAGCTTTGTGGTGTGCTGCTCGAAATCAAACCAGACACCAAGGTTCTTAGCAACATGCTTAATGTGATTTACAATGGAATACTGCCGTCTGCTGGGACCTGATGACACCTATTTCTGTTTTGTCTGAGTTCAGCTGGAGGAAAATATTTGACATCCATTTTTTAACTTCACAAAGGCAGTCGGTAAGTGAACTCAGCATTCCAGGGTCTGTGGATCTGACGGGCAAGTGCATTTGTGTGTCATCAGCATAAATATGAAAAGAAATACCATGTTTATGGATAATATGTCCAAGGGGAAGCAGATACAAGGAAAACAAAATGGGTCCTAAGACCGACCCCTGAGGCACACCATATTTAACTGGACAGAACGAAGAGACATAGTTGTTTACAGACACGTAAAACTTCCTATTTGACAGGTAGGATGAAAACCATTCTAGGGCAGTACCAGAGATCCCCACCCAGTGCCTCAGTCTGTCTAACATGATGTTGTGATCAATGGTGTTAAAAGCAGCGCTAAGGTCCAGGAGTACCAGGACTGAGCACATACCTTCATCAGAAGACATTAAAAGGTCATTGGTGACTTTAAGCAGGGCAGTCTCAGTGCTGTGGCACTTCCAGAAACCAGACTGAAACTTTTCAAATAATTTGTTATTTTCCAGTACAGTGAGCAGCTGTTTGGACACAATTCTTTCTAGAATCTTTGCAATAAAAGGCAGTTTTGAAATTGGTCTAAAATTTTGTGGGAGGGAGGGATCTAAACCAGGTTTCTTTAAAAGTGGGTTCACGCAAGATGTTTTAAAATAATCAGGGACACAACCAGTAGTAGGGAGCTCAAAGATCAAATGAGGCCTGACAGAATCCATTACTTTCAGTAAAAACTTTGTAGGTATTACATCAAGTGTGCTGGATAAATAGGCAATCAACAACACAATCAGCGTAAGAACTTTATAAGGTACGTCAGTGTTGCATTTGCAACTTGGTCCGCTACCCCTCCAAAAATAACTTAATACTGCTTTACAAAAGCACTGCCCCTACCAATTTTGTAGCATATCATTTTGGAAATAATATACGGTCACAAGGAAACAACGTGAATTATAACAGCTGAGCAAGCAAGGCACCTATCAGTATCCATGGCGACGGCTGTTTCTTGTTCATGATGAGTGTGGCGAGTGCACCCCACAGTTTACTTGTTTATTTAATTCCTCTGCTTTGCCCTTCATAGCTAAGAGTGTGACTTCTGTAGTGAGGGGTTAGTGAGTGGTGAATTGGTTTGGGAAAGTTTCTGAACACTGAGCTCCAATGTGGCAACTCTTAACAACTGATGTGCATGTTTATCTCTCTCTTTCTCTCCCAGGTACTTGATTCGTTCAGACCCTCTGGCTCACGTCCCAGAGGAGCCTCCTGTCCACAGCAGCAGCCTGAAAGAGAGACACGAATCCAGTGTAGACACCAGAGAGGACACCCAGCTCTGATACCATGCTGACCTTCACTGGTACTTCATAATCACCCCCTTCTGCTGTCATGGGGGTCTGGTTGCACCCATGCAGGTCAAGTCTGAAAGAGGACATTTTGTGCTACAATGTTCCAGCATTGCAGTCTACAGTCAGCTGTAATATATGAGTGCCTACTGTTTGGCAGATGACATTTGACATCATCTGTGACATTTTCATCCTCTTGCCACATACTCTGTATGTAAGAATGGTGTATTCATGTCAAAGCTCTCTCTCTTGGTGATGATCAGTGATAGACAAGCTTGTTAACTGAAGGGATATCAATCAGGTCCATCAGATGTACAGGACCACACATGATTTTTTTTGTCATTGATTTAAAAAAAATATATAACCACTGTTTTCTGTGAGTGTCTAGTCAGTGTATTTGGTACCCAAATGGTTAACATCTCTCCTTCTCTACTACGAGTCCAATGCGTTTTTAAGATTTGAAAGATTATGTACTCCTCCTCGTATGCCTCACAGTGGTTTGGTCTTCTGCGTACCTTTTTCAGACCCTCAGCAACTTTCTTTCTAAAAAGTGACTAGTGACAAATCTAGTGAGTTAGTCAGACCATCAGGGGTAGAGTGAGATATGTACAAAAGTCTCTTATTTTGTAGGCTAATTTATTCCTCTGCATGCTTCTCAGATTAATCTAATTCAGCAGCTCTCCCTCTCCTCTCGCACTGTGCGCACACAGGCAGGAGTGAGAGTGAGTTGCTGTACATTTCTTAGTCTGAATGAGGTTTTTGCACTACAATAACTTAATTTAACCCTTTAAACTGGCCATGCCATATACTCGTGCCACTTTTCATCAGTGTAAGTCATGCCAAAAAAGGATTTATTTGATTTATACTATATTAGTAATCAGAAAACCAAATTTTACTTTCAGTGCTGCTCAGTGAAAGAACTTGCTTTTTAATTCACATTTGTCGCTGTTTCGTCAAGGTATGTATTTCTAAAATGCTACAAAAACTAAAATAAACTATGAAAATATTGATTTTACTGTATGTGGATTATTCCTATAACTTTAAGATGAACTATCCCAAATCAACTTTCACTGACATTGTCTTCTCTACATTTAAACGAGATGTAATTTGAAATATATGTTCATTTTAATTAGCGAAAACAAAAATTTCATGTTCACTCATCAGTTTGAATAACTTGAAAGAGAGTAAATGTCTGTTTGGTATCGAGTTGCAGTGGGTATTTAACATTAAAACACAGGGACGTAGATACTAATCTGGTAACTAATGTGACCCCTTTGCATGACGTCGTCTGAAATCCGCCAGTAGTATATCCAAGTTATTCAGTATTTATATTTACATGCACTTTATGTCCGTCTGTCTTGGCAATCAAGCAAACAGTTTCCACGTGACATATTACGAAAAACATTCAGACTTATTTACTTCTTAAAAAAGTTTTCTTATATAGAACGTTTTTAATAAGATGTTTTCCTATAGCATAGTCTCAGTTTTTTTAAGATGTATAGAATAGTGTAAAGGTAGCACCCTGGCTTCACCTAACTGTATAAAATTGATAAGGAAGGAATAAACGGGACGATAACTCCAAACGTCTGGTTTTATTTTATTTTTTAACAAATCGGGTATGGAATTAATCTGCAGATGTCATAATGCATATTATTAAATTGTTTTTACTGCTGAAAAGACAAAAGTCTAAGCTTTACAATAGGCCATATGAAAGTACAGGTGTAAATGCACCGAAGATGCATTGAGGATGAATTGTGATCCGATCCAAACTATCTCTGGTAGAAGTCGATGACACGTTGTGACCACACTGAACATAAGTGTAAATGCAAATGTGTTGTCAATCCACATACAACAACTTAATATGGTGAAAATATGTACCGTTCGCAGTCTTCCGCAAATAAAATAAAATGTTTGACGGCTCATACAGCTGTGTCCATATAGTGTTTTTCCATTAATGTGCTTAAAGCAACACTTGGTAACAATTGAACATACATTGCAAAACCTTCTGCATCTCCCTCTGCTGCTCGTACGACTCTGTTATGCCTCTCCCACCAAAGCCACAAGCAGGAGGCTGTTGGCCTTAGAAACTTCATCCAGCTCTTGCTCTCCCCGTCAAGAGCCTCGCCAAGACCCCAGTTCCCCTCTCCACTGCTCATCTTCTCAAAGATGCCCCTCCAACGCTTTGCAGCCCAGGCACAACACCCCAGGGTTCAGAGGTAGCTGCCAGAATGTCTAACCCTCAAAAATTATTCTCTACTGTTTGTTATCATACTTCTTTGTCACTCATTGATACGATACGCCATGGCATCAGACATAATGAGCTTGAAGGTCCATGTGGAGCCGGGACGTGTTCACACAAGTGTTTTGTACTATATGGTGTGGTTGACGAAGGAGACAAAGGACTTTACAGATTATCTGTCTCAAGTACTATTGTCAAGATATAGTGAAAGCATGCTCCTCTGATTTAAAAAATAAAAAAAATAAAGCACTTAAATGCTCATTTCTAATGACTTTTGGAAACAGAATGTACTTATTAGTGTGGTTGAAAGAGGGTATTTGCAGTGACAGAATATGGAGAACAGACTGGGGAGGGGAGATTATGAAGACTCGGGTGCACATTCAGAGAGACAGAGAAGAATATAACTAAAACAAAACCGTCTAGGAACGCAACAAATGTTTGTGAACACAGAACTGTCTTCAATGCAAATTCTGATGACATGCCATTGACCTAACAAAGTCATTTTACTATGTGAATTTTAGAAGACAACATACAGTATGTCATCTAGTGTTACAAGCTCATCCTCCTCAGTTTTTTCTGTTCCTACTCAATTGACCTCTGTCTTCTTCCCCTTAAAATACTGTAGGATGTTAATCTCTGTGTGAACATTTTGATTACTTTTAAATTGTTTATGGCATGGTCACGGACAGAGGCAAAGAAATGAATGGAGTTTGTCCCTGGTCAGCTCACTCTCCAGACAAAGCATTTGTTGGGGCTTCTGGGTCTTTAGAGAACTTTATTCCTGCATTCTTGATAATTTTAGAGCACATAACTAAATTAGCCATTAAAATACATTTTCAAAACAAGAAACGCCTCTCTAACTCTCCTCAAGTAAAGTAATCACCTCAGCTGAGCCCTTGAGTACAATAAATGTATAAGCCATATAATTATCAATCTTACCATCTCAGTATGCAGAATGTCCCATTTCAGAGCAATGTATATAATATTAATGGTTTGATTGTTAGTACATTAATGTGTACACCACTTTGATGTTGCTTCTGGTAATAGTAGGGTTTATTTTAATTACTTTATGTACTATACTGCTGGGTAGCTTGTAATCAATTGTCTTATCTTAACCTATAATAACAGACTATAATTTATTTGTGGATTATATTTTGTATAAATAATCCCAATCAATAACCAAAGTTATGGTAAGTAACAGGTCCCTGACCGGAGGTCTGTATTCAGATTATAATTTCTGTAGATGACAGAGAAATGATGAGACAGGCAACAGGTAGTGTGTTTCCCTTCCTCGCTTCTACCAGAGAAGAGCTCTTAAATATTGACTTTCAACTGCTCATACTATTCCACTGCTCTTTATCGAACCTGGAACCTGGTCCTGGTCAGCGTTTACATTCCACCTCAGGCCTGTGTTAGTGAGGTGTTGCTACACCTGGCCAACCAGATAACTAACGTGGAGAAAAAACATCCAGACTCCCTGCTCATTGTTCTCGGGGACTTCAACAGTGCAAACCTCAGCCATGAACTTCCAAAGTACAGACAGCATATTAAGTGTCCCACCAGGGACACTAACACACTGGACCACTGCTACACTACATTAAAGGACGCCAATCGCTTTGTTCCCCGCAGCCCTGGGACTCATCTTATCTCAACATACAGGCAGAAATTAAAATCTGGACCAACAAGTCAAAGCTGTATTTACAGGCCTGCTTTGACTGCACTGACTGGAGTGTTTTTGAGGCTGCAGCCACTGACCTGGATGAACTAACTGACACTGTGACATCTTACATCAGTTTTTGTTTTTGTGTGCAGACTAAATCCTTCCGCATATACAACAACCAAAAACCCTGGTTCACAGCGAAACTCAGGAAGCTTCGTAAGACCAAAGAGGAGGCCTTCAGAATTGGGAACAGAGTCCTGTACAGCCAGGAACACACTGACTTAAGAGATCAAAGCAGCAAAGAGGAGCTACACTGAAAAGCTATAAAACATCTTCACAGCCAGTGACCCTGCATCAGTGTGGAAAGGCCTGCAGACACTCACCAACTACAGGAGGCCATCCCCCAACACTGTTGGTACTCAACAACTGGCAGACGAGCTGAATAGTTTTTATTGTAGGTTTGAAAAGCCCACAGTCACACCTCTCCTCTGCTCCAACACCATCTTCAAACAGTCACCTTCCCCCTCCGACACACTGCCACCCCCCCTCTCTGACCCCTCATCTGCACTCAAGATCTGTGAAGAGGACGGGAGCCACCTCTTCCAAAGAAAGAAGATCGTGGACTTCAGGAGGAGCCCCCACACTCTTCCCCCCATCACCATTCTAAACAGCCTGATGGCAGAAGGAATAAAATAATTTGCATATCTGTTAGTTTTCCTTGTGGGGGCGAGGTAGCGCCGTCCGGAGGGCATTAAACAGAATTCCTGACTAAGAACGTGGTCAGAATGACTCATGACCTGTCTAGCCTTCTGGAAGACCTGTTTTTCCCAGAGGGAGCTCAGGTCTGTCAGCTGAACTCCAATGATCTTGGAGCAGCAATTGTGATAAGGTACTCCCATGACCCGATTGAGCCCCCTGAAGAAGTGACAGCAGGGCAGTGTCATCAGAAAATTTTCAAGGTAGCTACCCTGTTGGGAAGTCCTGCAGCTGTCTGTGTACATAATACAGAGCAAAGGAGAGAGGACAAAGCCCTGCGGAGAACCTTTATTTGAAGTGATGATACTGGACATGTGGCCATTCACAAATAAAAAGTTTAAGAGCAACTGGTAGAGGTAGATTAAATAAGAGACAAGTTGCTCAATTAAAATATGAGGCTGCATCTTGTTAAAAGCTGAAGAAAAATCAAGAAATAAAAGTCTTGCATGTGATTTGGGTTTTTCAAGGTGCTTGTATTATCTGACTAAAATAAAATTTTAGAGTCATCCACACCTTTCCCAGCTTGATAGGCAAATTGTAGTGGATCTAGTTTGCCATTGATTAGAGACAAGTGTCTATAGGCACAAGGCAACAGACTCAGGAACAGTTTCTTCCCACGAGCCATCATTTTGATGAACAGCTGACTTCTGACTCACAGTGTCAGGAACAATTCCTGTGCAATAACCCAGTAACTCTGCCTCTAATCAGCCACCTGTTCACTGACTACCACCTCTTATTTATTCATCATTCTCTCGTTCTCTATTTCAGAGCAGCTCATACTGTTAATATTGTCATATTATAGATACTGTATACCAAATCCACCTACCTCAAGTACATAATACTTATTTATTCCAGCATCCTTTGCACTATGCACAATCACACTGTGTACATGAGAACATGTGTATGTGCACCTGTATATCTCATCCACCTTCGACATGTACATAATAATAATGGTAGTAATAATTCACTCTTGCATCCTTTGCACTCGGCTCATTGCACTATTGTCTTAATCTGTCTATATTGGTTTTGTTTATAGTGTGTGTGTGTGTGTGTGTGTATCTCTATATATATATATATGTGTGTGTGTGTGTGTGCGCGTGTGTTCTATACTGTAGCCTGTGTCTGACCTGGCAAATAAAGCTGATACTGATTCTACAAGCCACACCAAGCTGTCTCGGTAGGGAGGCGAGGCCCCCTTGTGGCAAAAAACAGTATTACGATCCCAACATAAATGTACATCAAATTAACTCAATTAGGCTCTGCTACAACAATAAAACACATGGAAATTACACAGACTATTGCTAATAAAATCACATAATGTAACCATGTGTGTCACATTGTGCAATAAGTGTAGTAAAGACTATATTTGTTTGGTACAGATGCAGTGGAGTAGAAGGTACCAGAAAATCAAAATACTAAAAGTGCAATTACCTCAAAATTGCACTGAAGTACAGTACTTGAGTAAATGTACTTACAGGTAGTAACATTCCACCGACTCTTTAAACATTACATCTCTAGCATTTGTGTAAAAATATATGTGCATTAAAATTTTTGTTGTTGGCATGCAAAGACATTGAGACACTATTAGAATTGAGATCAGCAGCCATGTCATGTATCAAAACAAACTACTGAACTAAAAATAATTACTAAAATTACTTTCCCATGGTACCATAAAATCACTTTGCGAACCTTTCTATCTACTGGCCTATTTGATTTCACCAGTACAACAACTCAGTTAATTAAAAGCAGCTTTTCTCTGCCTAATGAGTCATGTAATAAATCTGATATATGCAACAAGTTAACAGATAAAATACTGAAATATCCCTATGATTACCCAGATGAAATTTTAGAACCAGAAACAGTTTGCTTATGACACAGACTGTATCCTAATTTAGTAACTTGGTGTTTGGTAATGGGCGTACTCAAATGAGTGTGCATTTAACAAGTTACACTGTCTTGTGGCATTATAAAGTAATATAGCCTATACAACAGCGCGGAACGTTTTATTATTTTCTTTTTATATAAAAGATATATATGATTATATGGTATATGATTTAGCCAATGCTACTAAAACGAACACCAAAAATTAACAGGAACTGTTAAGAATTGCAGCAATTTATGCCAAACATCAATGGAAAGCTGGCAACCTCGCCTACCTTGACTTTCTTCTTTGGGTGTGGATCAATTTACCGTTCTGATCTCAACCCTGAGTAAATGCCTGAATGCACCAATCAGAGGCAGCATTTTTATGATGTTATCACGTAGACTTCTCAAAAGACACACAATACCGAGTTCGCCAAGTTCGGACTTCTATACTTTAAAGCTCGGACTTGGCAAGTTCGGCACGGGAGCACAAACTCCCAGGGACGGGAGCGCGCAGTCAGTCATTCAGCAATTGGAACAACATCCTAACCTCCTTTCCTTCACCACGATGGAAAACGTCATGAGGTCAAGGAAAGATGTGAAGGAGAATCCGTAAAGACTTAGGAAAAGAAGACGGCGGGTCTAAGAGAATCCGACTGCTCTTTATAAGCGACGTAATTATGCGACGGCGGGTTTTACTGACGTGACCTGCCATGATGAAACCACAATCTTCTGAAGACGGACTACAAAAAGCGCATCTATGACACTGCGCCCCGTGTTGTTGTAATGCAGGCCGTCTAAAGGTGGACAACACGGTGGAATATATAACTTAATAACCAAGATAGCAAAAAGGCAGATAAGGTACCAGTCACTAAATAATGGACAGGGTTGTCACATTGAGAATGCTCACACTCACCCACAGAATGACAGTGTAACTGTGCTGAGAGAGAGAGAGAGAGAGAGAGAGAGAGAGAGAGAGAGAGAGAGAGAGAGCGACGGGGCGAGATGAGATGCTGAGAGAATATATGCTGTGCAGCGCTCTGTCATCAAATACGATTTTACCCATTTTAAATAGTAACAAAATCAATCGAAAATCAGCCTTGATAATGTGGCAGGCCGCCACAAATAAATCAATGTGTGGGAAACGCCTACTGTAGAGGTTATCCAGCTTGATCTTTGCCTTTATTAAGGCGAGGGTGTCAGCATCTGTGACTGAAGAAAAATAAATTTGCTGAAGGCTACACACTGCAACATTATCCTCACTTTGATCACATTACAAGACTGGTCTCAGTTATTGTTGACAGTTTAAGATATATGCATATTACAAAGTTATGGCATAAGAGAGAAAAGGCTTAATAGCCAATGGTAACTTACATGGTGATCAACATCCTTTATCCGTCATGGTTGTTTCAACAACCCGAAACATAAAACGTTGTTGAAACAGTATTAGATTACAAAAAAGCCTAAAGAAAACAAACCAAAAGAAATAAGGTAATTATGAGTCTTATTAAAGTATCATAATGTGTGTCTGTATTGCAAGGACTTTGCTAAATGTGGTTGATGGATTTTATCGTTTGAGTTTGAGAAAGTGCGCCGCTTTAAATGTTGCCGCCGCAAGGAATTGTGGGACGGCATTCTCTCCTTTCCTTTCGTAAAGGATGGTCCATGGTGTATCCTATGCTAAAGGAGATATGAAAGGAAGCATTGAGGCACCTTTCCTCAGCTTTTAGAGAATTTTAACAGCTCTTATCATGGCTGACACTGAAATACTTCCGGGTCACTTCACTCAGTTAGGAACCTTCCTAAGCAAAAAAGACTTTTCGAACGCAGCCATCATGTCGGCCGGACCCGTTAGCTGGCGGGACCTCACATCTCCGAAAACGTCGTAGCAATTTTTTAAATCAGCTCTGTCTTGATAAATCAACCACATATGTGGAGTTTAAACAACTATATTCTATAAACTCTTAAAACTACTAGATGTGACAGAAGAACAGCAGTATTATAAGTTACAGTTGTGAGTTTTTGGCGGTGAAATGCATTCTGGGATATCTGGCTATCCATACAAGTCATCTATGCTCGGTAAAACGTGCATAGCGAGAACACATCCGGGTATTTGACTGTACTTGGCTAGATGCGGACTTTTGAATTAGAACAGTACTTTGGCTGCCACTTGAGAAATAGCTGTATTTTTCGGTCTCTATTTTTAAACCTTAGACTGTATTAATGTTTAAAGTATTTAGATACAAAACAAGAAACCATTTTGATCAACCATATCAAATTCAAATGACAAAAAAACACATGTAAACCTATCATACATCCCAGAGCCCTTTAACTGCTACTAATGCTGCGTTCCTCGGAACTAGGAAATTTCAAACCTCCAACTAGAAACACTACCCTGGAACGCCACCTGAAGTCGGATTTAGTACTTGTGAACTCGGGGGGGGGGATATGTTCCCCCACTTCACGAGAAGCAGCTGAATTACGTCACAAAACAATGTCAGCACCCATGGATGCACACATTGTAAATGGTAAACCATAAACTAATAAGCAACAAAAGTATATTTGCATGTATTTAAATTAAAATAATACATACGGTCATATAGTAAAACCTGTTCTGCATGTACATTGATGAGGAAATATGTTAGGCCTATTAGGAATCTGGCTACAGTAAAGAATCTCATAAAGTCATCTTCTCTGCATAAAAGTTAAAAAATGCCAAACCATTGGGAAGTATAACCTACAACATTGACTGACTTGAGGGTTACCAACTGATGTAGGGGTACACAGAACTAGTAAAGTAGGCTATAGGCTATTTATGTCTGTTGTTGCAGTTAAACTGCACTGCCCTACAAAGCCAAAGCGCAGCAACTACACATTTAGTCAAAATTGAGTTAAGACTTGAAATGGGCTTAATGACATCTGTTCTGTCTTGTGACAATGTCTCCTACTTAAATTTTGCCCCGTTTCAGAGAAACAAGAGTGTCAAAATTGCAGTAACTACAAAATCCAAGCTAATACCAAGGCAAACCGCAGTGATGTTACTGCGCTCTGACTGGCTTTGTTTGACAAGTGAACTGTAATACTGTTTGCCCCGATCGTAACACTCCCTCACACAGAACCAACAAGCCAACCAGCTAATATTATCTTGCCATAGAGAAACACCATAGCACAATCCCGCAGTAAAATCATTGTTGAACTTGCATTAAAACGCAGCAAGGCGAATGACAGCTCTATAATCAGTTAAGATTAGCTAACTAAGTTGGCTAGCCAGCCACTTGCAAATCAGACAAACATTTTAGCCTACCTGCTCCCTTGAAGGCATTTACTCTGGCAGCGTGATTTATAATCGCGTTGATGTTTTTTATTTCCATCTCTTTCTTCACATTTCAAGCAGCTATTCCAATTGTTGTGACAGAGGTTAACGTTAAAGTTATATAAAAAAAAAAGTTAAAGGCATTTTTCTCAGTTTCAGTGTTTGCGTAGTTACTGCACTTAGACTTTGTAGGGCAGTGCAGTCCTTTTAATTAACACCTAAAACACTGCTGAGGCTGCAACTGTGTGTACACTTTGTCACGGTCAGCCGTTTTCGTTCACTTTTGGTGTCATGCACCACCATGCACCTGGAACGCATTGAGGTCGACGTTTCAACTGGGAAATCTCCCAGTTCCGACCGGTCACGAACGCGGCATAAAAGTCTTGTCTGAGCAGACTTATCAACAATTACATGGAAGATACTACGATCACTTATACAATCGTATTGAGAGTCCAGACAGGTCTGCTTAAATAAAAAAGGGAGAACTAAAAATCATTGAATTCACAGCCATTAATGAGAGAAAAGACAGCTGCAAATTCTTTTAAGCCTACAGGTGACTTTCTGTGTTGCTCTGAGAATTTATTAAAGTTGCAGTTTCTTCTTCACAGTAAATGGATGAATGACATTTTTTAATGTTATAAGTTTAATTAAAATAATTCACTCATTTTAAAATACACCACAACTCTAAAACCTTGTGGATAAACATCAACAGACTAACAGTAAAAAAGAAAAAGAAAAAAGGCATTATACTCCAGTACAATGAGTTAATGTGTTTTTTGACCAGGAGGCATTCATATTTTGTAAATTAATAACAGTACAATTAACAATAACAACAATATTTCATGTGGACCACTTTTCGGCTAAATATTTATGTTTAACTTATCAGCAGCTATGTCATATTTATTGAATTGTAGATCCATGAGAACGTTTTTTTGTGGAGTGAAATTAAAACTACAGAAAAACAAAGCAAATGTATTCAGATCTTCTAAGGCATACAATTGGAGATGTTCATTAGAATTATAAATAAGACATGATGAACTAATAAAAAAACATTCAATTTAAAACAATAAAAAATCAATGTTATGTGATGAGTTCTATGACAGATGGGTCGCAGAGTGAAAGGTGGGACTCTACAGCATCCGATCACAGTGATCCTGAATATAGGGAGGATCCAAGAGGGTGGTCTGGCAACGTGGATGGAGAGGCAGACACAGTGTAGATTGAGGGGGGTGAGTCCTCGATTTCGTAGATGAGGTGTAAGAATTGGATGATGAGTCTTGCAGGCTGTGTGTGGATGTATGCCTACTTGTAGGGGCACTGGACGAAAGGCTATAGTATTCATCACCATCACAGGGAGGCTGCAGGCACAAAGTGAGCTGGGACTGGCTGATGAGGGTCTGGCTTGCACTTTCATGGCTCCTAGGATCGTTGTGGAGGTGGTTAAAGGATTGTGGACTGTGTTGGGGGGCTGTGGGAGGCCTGGACACCATTTGGGTATGAGTCGTGGGAGTCTCTGTAGTGATGCACAGATGCGTGGGTGTGGAGGAGATGCATCTGGTGGTACCGGCCTCTGGTGAGTTCATACAAATCCTGATTTAGGTTTTCAATCTGGACAGAGAGAGCACATCGTTTAGTTGTAACATTAAAAGACCTATCCTAACATGCATAGGCAATTTATAATCCTGTCTGTGACTCTAAGAAATGGCTTCTTATGCATTAGTGACATCCAGAGGGACACAGACTGAGGTAACTGACGCAAATAGGGAAGAAAACTGGGAACAAGAGAGTGAAGCAAGTTGGAAAGGGGGTCAGAGAAGGACTACGAACTAAGTAGAGCTAGGTTGTAATCAAACAGTTTTCTTTTCTTCTTCAGATTGTCAAATCAACACTCCTGACTTTCATCTGGATTGCAGACGTGCAATCCAGACCTGCTGATTAATTAATATTAACTTCAGACAGCACATACCAGCGTCCATCTGGAACCTCTGGCTGCACCTGCTTTCGCTCTTTTTATATTCAAATTAAGGACAGACTGAGATAGGCAGAAAGTGAGTCTACTTGATTTCCGTGTATGTTTGCCCCTGTAAATCTATAACCATGGCTGTTTATTGCATGAGAAGCCAGAATGTATCAATGAATAAAGATCATGAGTTTCTGTTGGTCTGTTGGTCTGCACTGAAGATGTCAGAGAATCCGTTTGTAAAGACAAAAACAGGAAATCATATTTTAATGTTGAAATAGCATGAAGATTGAATTTTCTAATTACAAATTCATTTATGATTCCGGAATTTTATGTTCAGTCTCTCCACAATACTTTACAAACAGAAGTTGATTTGGATCTCAAAGATCTTCGGGCTCCATTTCATTTGGTCCAATCAGTTTTAATTTAGGTCAAGAGGCTATACCTTACCTTGTTGTTGAGTTGACTAATGATCTGTCCGACCTCCTCCGGCTCCAGCAGCAGAGTAACATTAGCCTGAGTGGACTCTGGACAAATGAGGAGGAGAAAACATTAAGTAGCTGACTTAGGGCAGGTTTAGGCCAGCTTTGTTTATTCCGGTTGAACCGAACCCTGGACATTTTCCCCCTTGGTGCAGTTTGTCTAGGACCGCTGTCATGTGAACTCTGGAGCAGTTCATTTTTGGTGTGAACACCAAACTAATCACAGGAAGCGTACTATTGTATGTGTTATTTAAAATAGTACTTATTTATTATTACTGTGCTATTAAATGTATTATTGTTATTTATAACATTTGATTTTTATGACAATATGTTTTATTACCAAGAAGGTTTTCACTGTTTGCCAATTTGCCTTGGTGTTACATACAAAAACATATTAAGAGGAATTAAAAGAAAGGCAAGTCAAGAACGTAAATATAGAATAGAAAAAGATACATTAAAAATGCCATAACAACAAATATGTATTATATTGTCTATATATCTCGCAACTCTGTGGAATCAGTGAGGCACAAACTAGAAAAAAGCCAAACAAAATGCAGGCAATCCTCCGAGAGGCGCTGTAGAATGGCCACAAAACTAAAAAACTGGTGATGGTTTGGCTTACCGTGGGTGCTGCCTCCTGTACTGGCCCTAGGCCCGGTGCGCTCCATGTTGAAATGGAACATGTGTCCATGGTCTTCAGTTCTCTCCACAACCCTGGTGAAGGGGTGAAGATGAGGAAAGCTGGAGTTAATGTAACAGTAGAGCTTTTTCAGTGAACACCGGAGCCAGCAGATTACCCAGGAATGAGAGCTGCAGAGTCCCATGTTGGTTTGAACATGAGGAGCCCAGCCTGGAGGGGCGACACCTGAGCTCTCTGAACCAGCACTTTCCCATATCTAGGACTTACTGGATGACTTAGGTATAATTACATTATGAATACAGATGGTTTGGGCAGGAGGATAGGGTGCTCTGGTAATGAAATGCAGTGAAATTTGCGGAGATATGTAATCCAACATACAAGTAGATGGTGCAGGTTTCTGAAGCATGACTTTAGGTGTACAGTTCTAAAACACGTTCTACAGCTGTCATAACTAGGGTAAATAAAATATCTTCTTGTTCTTCTTAAATATATAGACATGATGTGGTCTATACCGTTAGATACCAGTGTCAGGTTGATACTGGGTATCTAAGAAAGACATGTAGTAAAGGGGGACTGTTTGACAACACTTAAACAACATCATAACAAACACAGAAAAAGATGCATCATTGTATATTGGTGTGGTTATTAAGCAAACCATGGTCAAATTAATTTAAACTGGACACAAATTCCCAATGCTTTAAAATTTCAGTGTCTGTGGGGGAAAGCACTGAAAAGAAGGAAAAACACTAACATGTGGATACTCATTACACTTTGACACAGCTTTCACAATACCTGGGACCAAGATCTGGGGGTCCAAAGCAGGTGACAGTTGGGATAAGCCGCTGTGAAGGCTTTTGCTCAGCCGCTGACTCTCCCTGGGCGGTGCTGTTCTCTTTTTTTGACGGTGACTGAGGGGTTGAGCTCTGCCTGTGAAGGCCAACAAGGCTGCTGCAGCTGGTCAGCAGGTGATTGCAATGGGAGCGTGTTGCTGGAGGGAGGTGGACGGAGTTGTCAGACTCATCCCCTTGTGTTTCCACAATAGAGGGGAGCCTGGGTTTCTGAAAAACAGCATGCAATGTGCAGCATTAATAACTGTACACTTTCTAATGTGCCTGATTATTTGGAATTTGGAAATACTGGAATAACAATTACATGTTACTTAAATACTTTGAAATACTGGGATCATGTTAAATAAAAAAAAATAGTTACAGCTGATGATATTTTAATCACACTCCCGTTACAAATCTATTAGGCTCTACCCATGGCTGCCTGTGTACTTGTGAATTGGGTGAATTGGGTGTCATTAAGTGGCTTGATTAATAGACCAAACAAGCACTGTAAACTGTATTTTAATAATAAAAAAATAAGGTGTGGCATTCAGCATATAGTGAGACAAGTAGCTAATAAGGTTTCCCTGCTACTGACCAAGTTAGCAAGCTAACTCCAGCTACTGAGTCCTTGCACAAACTGTCCTACAGTACTCAGTAGTAATTTAGCATGTACCAGAAACATGGCACATTTACCTTGAAAACCCAGACATATGTCCACTAAAAGCCAGGAAATGATATACAACAACTGGTGTTGGTCCTGGTCCTGCCTACTATAATATACTTTAAAAACAAGCTTTGGAAATGTATTATCACTTACAAGCAGGGACGTGCACAGACATTGTGGTGGGCAGGGGCTCAAGTGAAAAAAAAGGGCATTTCTTTAAATAAGACAAATATATTAACTCAACAACATTTTTACTTTTCTACAAAAAAATCAGTTCACACAGAGACCACGGTCTTCTTTAGTATTCACTATATCACAGGAGCAGGCAACAGCAAAGCAAACTATGCCACAATGTGCATGTTTTCTATGCTACTGGTTTCAAGTATATATTTATGGCACAGTTTCATTAATAATTTGTTTATTTTTCACAAGGCAATAAATTGTTTCAATTCTTTTGGTGTTATTGGAATACATAACACTTCACATAAATCTTCACACTAAACTGTGGCATTGGGCTGCAGGAATAATTAAAATAAATGTTATTTAAATACTTTTACTTTTTGTTTCACAAGCAAGATGCCAAATGAGCAAAGATAACCTTCAGCTTCACACAGCCAAGCAACAGAATACTGAATTGCCTGAATACATTAATGTCGGGGATAGGCCGGCTTACACAGCTCTGAATGTTGGACACTGCACTTAACAAACATGTGAAATGTGGAAAAGACCTGACAATGTGTGATTGAGGTGCCAGTTACTTATTTAGAAATATTGAATCTGTTAGTACTTATTTCGGAACATTGAAACTTCGACACGCCAACGGCGTTTGATGAAACCTCTAAAGCTTTTCAATTTACCGTCACAGAGGTCTTTAAATTTAATTCCCAAATTTGAAGTCGATCAGAATAATTATCAAGGAGTAGTTCATACAGAGCATGTAAATGGAAAAAAATGTAATTTTCAATTCAAAGTGACTGGCATCAGGTTGGGTTTAGTGTTTTTACTGTATACAACACACGTTTGTAAGATACTGGATGAAGGTTTGTGGGCTGGTAGGCTCGATTTCAGCAGTGTTGAGTTTGGAATTAGGGGAAAAAGTTTAAATAGATGACACAGGTTTAAAATTGTGAGAAAAGGAAGCCTACTTTTAATCATGTTTTCTGTGTGAGTGTATATTTAGTACCTCATCCTGGCTGTCCTCACGCAGGTTGTAGGTGAGGTTGTCTTGGATGTGTGAGGCAAACACACTGGCATACTCGGGGTAGAGAACCAGCACATCTTTCAGGTCACGCACACTGATATACTGAATGTGACAGTATGTCAGCGCCTTAACATCAGCATTGGTCTTGATGACCTGGTCTGTTTCAGGAAGGTCAGATCCAATCAGGTTCCCTGCTTCTAAAATCAAAACACTACATATTCACTTTTTTGCTCCACTTTACACTACACTTTGTGCCAAAAAAAAGTCACTTGACCACAAGACAAACCTAATCTTTCCAGCACCATCGTATCTTTCAGCACTTCCAGAGACCCAGAGCAGACATAGTAGATGGCTCGCAGCACGTCGTCCTGACAGATGAGGTACTCCCCGGGGACACAGAAGGAGTTTTTTATGTGGAGGGAGATTGAGCGCAGACAACCACGACTGGCCCCCCTAAAAACCTGCAGCTGGATGATGTCCTGATTCCGCTGCATGGCGATGTCAGCCCGCAGCTCAAAAGGGAAGTCATGCAGGAGCTGGGGATGTGTGACAGATGTAATGAGGTGTGACGCTGATTGATAATTAGGGAATAAACTGTGTAGCCACAAGTTACCCTTTTTTGAATGCCATGTATTGTGAAAGATCATTACAGTTACAGCTACATAGGGTTGTCAGTGGAATGCAGAACAGCTTTCAGTGCTCAAATGCCTTCCAAACATTACCCTGAAATGTCTTTAGGACAGACAGTACAATGTACAAAGTATTACATGTCAACAACAATGAAAGGGATACCTACCTTGTTGACATCTATACCATTATTGACCGACCATGTAGTCTCGAAGTACTCCATAATGCGTTGTTTTAACTGGTGGGGCAGATGGTGGATACGCATAAAGTCCTTTAGTTCCTTCATGCGTGTGTGGTAGAGAGAATGTCGTGAGTACGTACGCTGGATGATGGCCGAAATGTTACCGAACACCAGGGCGTACATCAGCACTGTGTGGGAGACGGAAACAAATAGTAAGTAAATGTTGATATTACTTCTGAATATTTGTATTTCTAGAAAAAAATATATTCTTTTACATTCTGAATGCTGTTTTTTTTTGGCTATTACAATTTGAATGGATTAAATAGCAACAATAGAAAAATTTACTTTTTAAGGTGACTTTTATTTTTCACTTCTTTTGCTGCTATAAAATAAAAGTATATCGTTACCCAATAATCTACATTTGTCACTGTTAATTTACTTCCTCTGACAAGCAGTCTAAATAAAAAATAAACTCTGCCACCTCAGCTAAAATAATTTGTTTATATTTATATAAAGATGGCAACTAACTTAAAGGCCAGCCTAACCATCCAACCCTGTCAGACGTACCACTGACAAGCATGGTGCAGATGGAGAAGATCATTTCAGCATCGGTGTTGGCAGAGACATTGCCAAAGCCCACAGTGGTCAGGCTGCTCAGGGCAAAGTAAAGGGCGGTGATGTAGGCATTGTACGCCGTCGGGCCACCCACCGTGCTGTTGGTGTAGGGAGTCTCCATACGTTTGCCCAGCTCACTGAGCCACCCTTGAAGGAGGTAGAGGATGAGACAATAATGTTCAAAGACTATGATTCATATTATCTTTATGTCTGTGTGGCACAAGTCAGCTCAGAGCTACAGTTAATAGTAAATGGTTTACCTGGTCTAAGAGAGACAAAAGTACATGTGTGTGACACAAACAAAACATTAGTGTGTCATTTTTTATATCAGCTTTTCATCTTGTTTGAGTTGTCATTAGAGTGCCAGAGTATGGTGGCTGTCACGAGTGAGCAGAGCGAGACATCCCAATGGGTGAGCCATGTGTATTTATAGCTGATTGGGGACCCAACAAATGTCTACTCACTGTATTGGCAAAGTCAACTCTATTATTCTCTCTTATTTGTTGGATTTTTCACCAATGGGTAACTGAATCAAGTCTGGATAGTCAGCACTGTGCTTTTAATAAAATATTGCATTTATTTCCTGTCAGAAGGCACAATGAAGACAATTTATAAATACTTGCACATGGTAAAAATCTGTTTGAACTATTACTTTTAAGGAAATATTAATCCCCCCTTGCTGAACGAAACACCAAACCTGACATTCATACTTCAACAGCTTTAATAAGACTTACCAATGTGCCAGGTCTTACTGTCCTCCATCTCCTTGTGTCCAATCGTGTACCAGATGCAGGCCATCCAGTGTGCCAGCAGGGCAAACATAGACATTAGCAAGGTCAGCACCATGGCGCTGTACTTAGAGTAGCGATCCACTTTCTGAAGCAGACGAAGGAGACGCAGCAGGCGTACCGTCTTGAGCAGGTGGGTGAAGGAGGTCTGAAAAGGAGGGGCAAGTATGGGGGGAATTGAAAAGAAAAAAGAAAGAAGAATAAAGTGAATCCCTTTGCCATGTTATATCTTACAACACACTTTGACTGTATACATACAGATATGTTTTGTTCAAACAAATTTGCTTATCACTATTTTGGAAGTACTCATCACACAGGCAGGCAGGCAGTAGCAGCCTTGTGCAATGTAAGGTACTGTATTCCCAAAGGCAATACATTGGGAAATTGCTGCTTGTGTCAGAAACCGCGGAGGGCAGTGAAAAAAAGACGGCTGAAGATATTGTTGTCCAGTTGTACTCACCATTGGGATGTGGGCGGCATACAGCAGATCAATGGGCAGGGAAGCAGCCAGGTCCACTAAGAACCAGGTGGTGGCGTAGTGTTTGCTAATGGAGCGTGAGTCATACACCACCTTCCCTGACTGGTTGATATAGGTGGTGCGGAAGCTCAGGATAATGTCTGCAAATACAGAGGTTGAAGATAAGTTCCCTACCCCAGTGAGTGAAAGACATCCAGTTGGTGAAGTTTTTGAATTAAAAGGTATCGCTGAAGAGTGTTGAAAGCAGAGCTAAAATCAGTGAAAAGCAGCTCAGCATAAGCTCTTTCAAGTTCATTTTAAGTACATAATGGCAATAATGGCATGATCCATACTCCATACTGAGCAAGTAGGAGCAACTGGTTTTAGTTGAATAGGTTTTCTTAGACAGGAATAATTACAGAACTTTGGCAAAGAACAGAACACTTTACTGGATCATTTTGAGGTTAAGCCACCTCAATTCATCCCTTAGGTGCTTCCCTTTGGAGGTTAACCTGGCATTATCGACCAGGAGGAGTCCCTGGGAGAAACTCAGACATCCTGAAGGTTCTATAAAACCAGGGCTGCCTGTAACTTGGAGGACTTCATGTCTCAGTTTCTCTCGTTGAAAATCTCATGTCACCACATGACAACACAAAAAACTTAACCACAATGTTATTTTGATTCAGATTTTGAGAGCTGATTTGACTCACTTTAGTACTTTAGTAGATAGAATTGGCTTGATGATGGTCCTACCTAGTAGTTAGTGAAAAACTTCTTTCAACACTCACCGATAATAAAGAGAAATTCCACGACAACATCAGTAGCGACAGTGGAGTGTGTTTCTACGGCGGTTTCATCGTATATAGTGAAGCTGATGTTGTAGGGCACGATGACAGCCACGTAGAAAGTGGCTATAAGGATTAACCAGTCCCACAGGACTTTGGACATACTGTAGTGGAGCAGGATGAAGCGGGACTTCTGCACTACTTCCACCTCTGTTATCAAAGGCTTTTCAATTATGCTCTGAAAGAGAACAGGTATAGTAAGTGCAACAATATATTGGTAAAAACATATACACAGTCATCTATGTTTTATACACACACACACACACCAATGTTCTTGACTTTCAACCTTACAATTAAAATATACAAAAGCAAACAAAGCACATTAGAGAAGCTGTAGAAATTAATAACTTGACAACCAGATGATCACGAGGTGGAGTGTTGTGAAAATGAATGATGCCGTGGCAGTGCCAGGATTTTGCAGAACCAGATAATATAAATTTCTTTTGCTCTAGTGTACAGATATGGTAATGCTGCTATTTATATATCCTTGACAGCTTCCTATTGACACTGATAAACCTTTTAAATGGCCCTGCATTAACAATACAAAAATGACATAGACAGGACTACGGTCAGTGAGGTTTAAACTTATTACCAACATTGACACCTGATAATTTCATCTTGGCTTGACTTCATCCCTCCAAATGCCATGCAATTTGAAAGTTGTGAGAGGGAAAGGGGAGACAAATGAGCTGGAATCCAATGAGGTGTCCAGTATCCAGTAACATTGTGGCCACTTCATTAACATGCAACAAGAAGTCTGGTTAATGAAGTCTTAACCTGAAAAGGGCTCTGAAGATGCCTAGTTGAGGGTATTGACTATTTGAAACTAATTCTTGTAGTAACAAAAATAAGAGAAATGCCAGAGAATAACAAAGTAGAGTAATCATGCTCAAATTATTCCCAGTGAAATAAAATTCAAAACTGTATTGATCATGGCTGCTTGACATAGAACAATGGCTTTCATGATGTTTGTAACCACTCTGGAAAATCCAGAAGAAAGACCTTGCTGACTGCCTTCAACAACTGTTGCCACTTTAATGATAGTTCAAGCTATGTCAGCAAAAGATGGACTTTTATTTCATTTGCCTTCCATCACAGAGGTCAGGACACCCATCTGACCACTGGCACTCGAGGCAGTCAGCAAGCACATCCAAATGATTAGAAAAGAAAAGCCCAGCACTGCATGGACAAATATTTCACTGCATGTCACACAGCCACAGCTGGTCTTTGCACTTCACTAACTCACACTGCAGCCCAGAGCTTACTGTCTCAACTACATCTCCCAGCCTGCTTTGGTCTTGAGCAATGAATAAAGTCTGTCCTTTTAGGCTATTGCAGAGGTTCCCTAGACTTTTATGTATACCCCAAAATACTACTTAATGTTTTTCCAAGTGATTAACGTTAGCCTATTCTTCATAGTGGCTAACTGGCCTGAAGAAATGCTGTTGCTATGGTTACCTACAATTAAATATAAAGTTGTCTAAAACTGTTCCAATTGTTTTTGAATATTAGTGATTTTTAATATGTAAATCTGCTATAAACCTGTATTTTTCTCTTTCAACTTATTTTCTTCCCAGATATGATTGTACATTATATCTCTATTGTTTGACACTGTTGTGACCATTAATTTAATATGTAAATGAACAGATAAACTGCTCTTTAATGCTGTAGCTGGCTATGGTAAATCAAAGTGAAACTTTATGTAGGCCTAATGGTGGGTCATTTTAGCAAATAATCTTTTATATCCTGCTTGATAAATTATTTTATATGTAAAACTCCCACAAGGCAGGTCCCCGGTGGAGTGTCTGTCTGGAGTGGCATTTGCTCTGAGTTCATTAACTAGCAACTTAATCAGCTAACTTATTTCGCAGGCTGTTGCTATAGTTATCTACAATTAAATGTAAAGTCTGCATTTAAAACGTGTTTCTGAATGTATACAAGTTGTTTTTAAAAAATATATTTTAGGCCTAAATCTGCTATTCTGCTTTACCCCTGTCTATTTCTCTCATCTTCTTTTTCTTCCCAGATATGATTGTACATTTCATCTCTATTGTTTAACACTGTTGTGACTATATTTAATTTGGAAATAAACATAGGCTAAACAACACTTTAATGCTGTAGCTGGTCGAGGTGAATCCATTTGGAGCTTTATATACTCTTGGGTCAGATAGACTAAATTAATCTTTAGCAATGCATCATATTTTATAACCTGCTTGATAAACTGACTGTTTTATATGTAAAACTCCCACGTCTGTGTCTGTCTGGAGTGGCGTTTGCTCTGAATTAATAAACAAGCATCTTATTTAGCTAACTTATTTTACAGGATAACTCTGAAAGTACAGTATTATATCCTTTAACTTACCTGAAGCCAAACTGTCCAATGGGCAGCCATTTGTTCCTTTTTCTTTAACGTTACTTTTATAGTAAGTTTAATTTTGTAAAGCTAGATTATTTTTACAACCTAGAAAGAACTGTCCTGAAGTGCAAGTGTTGTTGCTATGGTTATCTACAATTAAATATAAAGTCTGCATTTGAAATGTGGTCAAACTGTCTCTGAATGTATACGTCATTTTTTTAAAAACATGTTAGGCCTAAATCTGCTATTCTGCTTTACCCCTGTCTATTTCTCTCATCTTCTTTTCTTACCACATATGATTGTACATTTCATCTCATCTCACAACACTGTTGTGACTATATTTAATTAGGAAATTAAAATATAAACAACACTTTAATGCTGTAGCTGGTCGAGGTGAATCCAATTGGAGCTTTATATACTCTTGGGTCAGATAGACTAAATTAATCTTTAGCAATGCATCATATTTTATAACCTGCTTGATAAACTGACTGTTTATATGTAAAACTCCCACGTCTGTGTCTGTCTGGAGTGGTGTTTGCTCTGAATTAATAAACAAGCATCTTATTTAGCTAACTTATTTTACAGGATAACTCTGAAAGTACAGTATTATATCCTTTAACTTACCTGAAGCCAAACTGTCCAATGGGCAGCCATTTGTTCCTTTTTCTTTAACGTTACTTTTATAGTAAGTTTAATTTTGTAAAGCTAGATTATTTTTACAACCTAGAAAGAACTGTCCTGAAGTGCAAGTGCTGTTGCTATGGTTATCTACAATTAAATATAAAGTCTGCATTTAAAATGTGGTCAAACTGTCTCTGAATGTATACGTCATTTTTTTTAAAACATGTTAGGCCTAAATCTGCTATTCTGCTTTACCCCTGTCTATTTCTCTCATCTTCTTTTCTTACCACATATGATTGTACATTTCATCTCATCTCACAACACTGTTGTGACTATATTTAATTTGGAAATTAAAATATAAACAGCAATTTAATGCTGTAGCTGGTCAAGGTGAATCCAGTTGGAACTTTATATACTCTTGGGTCAGATAGACTAAATAGAGGCAATGCATCATATTTTATAACCTGCTTGATAAACTGACTCCCACATCCCTAGTGGATGTGTCTGACTAGAGTGGCGTTTGCCCTGAGTTAATTAACTAGCAATATAATCAGCTAACCAATATCACAGAATAACTCTGAAAGTACAATGTTATTTTGTTTTAACTTACCTGAAGCCAAACTGTCCACCGGGCAGCCATTTGTTCAATTTTCTGAGTTTAATGTAGAGTTTTTGTAAAGCTAGATTATTTTTTAGAAAGAACTGGTGCAAGTGCTGTTGCTATGGTTATCTACAATTAAATATAAAGTCTGCATTTAAAACGTGGTCAAACTGTTACTGAATGTAAACAAATAATTTAAAATATATAACTATATGTTAGGCCTAAACTGCTATTCTGCTTTACCTCTGCCTATTTGTGTCTTATCTTTTCTTCCCAGATATGATTGTACATTTCATCTCTATTAGTTTAACACTGTTGTGACTATATTTAATTTGGAAATAAACAACACTTTAATGCTGTAGCTGATTGCTCTGAATTAATTAACAAGCATCTTAATTAGCTAACTTATTTCACAGGATAACTCGGAAAGTACAGTATTATATCCTTTAACTTACCTGAAGCCAAACTGTCCTACGGGCTGCCATTTGTTCCTTTTTCTTTTCTTTTATAGTGAATTTAATGTAGAGTTATTGTAAAGCTATATCATTTTTTACAACCACAACCTAGAAAGAACTGTCCTGAAGTGCAAGTGCTATTGCTATGGTTATCTACAATTAAATATAAAGTCCGCATTTAAAACGTGGTCAGGGTTGGGGAGTAACGGATTAGGCTTCATGTAAGGGCGTTTCCTAATCAAGATACAAAAATAAAGTAACTGTATTCCGTTACAGTACATTTTGTAAAAATGGGGATTACTTTTAATCAGATTACTTTAACCACAAAGTTTCTATTAAACAGAAAAACTGAAAAACTGTAAAAACCACAGCTAGTGAGGGATCTGAGGAATAAAAAGAAACATTAAAATATATATTCCAATTGAAATCTGGCTGAAAATTTTCCTATTCGTACTAGAACCAATAATTCTATATGGTAGTGAAATCTGGGGGCCAAAACTTAATAACGAATTTGACAAATGGGACAAAACAATCATAGAATCTTTCCATACAGAGTTCTGTAAGAGCATCCTGCAGGTGCAGAGAAAGACACCAAATAACCTGTGCAGAGCAGAGCTAGGCCAATACCCCTTCCTACTAAAAATACAGAAAAGATCACTTAAATTTTACAATCACTTAAACTCAGTTAACCCCCAGACATATCATCACAAAGCCCTAACATACCAGGAGCTGAAACCAGAGAAGAGTCCCCTCAGCCAGCTGGTCCTGAGGCTCTCTGCAGTAAGTCCCCAACAGCCTCAGGACAGCAACACCAGACCAAACCAAATTATCAGCAAGCAGAAAGAAAAATATATTGAATACTGGAAAGAAACGACCAAAACACAAAGTAAATTACAATGTTATCTGACCCTAAAAAGAGAATTCACACTGGCAAATTAACTGAGTACAATAAAATGTCCCAAATTAAGAAAAATGTTGACAATATACAGACTGACTGAACACAGCCTGGCCATAGAAAAGGGTCGCCACAGACAGAGCTGGCTACCACAAGAGGAGAGACTCTGCTCCCAGTGTGACAGGGGACAGGTAGAGACAGAGCTGCACTTTCTAACCTCATGCTCTAAATATAAAACACAAAGACAAAAACACTTTGCAAACATTTCCCAAATATACCCCGAATTCGAATTCATATCAGACACACAGAAACTCCCCTATTTACTGGGAGAAATAATTGCTGCAAAATATGTCTCCTCATGCCATGAAGTGAGGACAACCAGTGGAACCTCAGATTAACAAATAATTGTACAGATTTTCAAATTATTATTATTTTGATCATTTGATATTTTAGTAATTGTTTTGTTTCTACATTTGATACTGATTTCTTTTTTCTTTTTATTATTTTTAATCAATTAATTCTTTTTATATATATATATTTTTTTGTCTATTAATATATACACACACACGTTACTGTTTCATTTATTTGTTTTATTTAATTTTTTTATTTTTTAACACACATACACACACACACACACGCTTACTGTTTTATTTATTTTATTTTTAATATATTTTATTTTTAACACACACAAACACACACAAACACGCTCACTGTTTTATTTATTTATTTTATTAAAATTTCTTTTTTTTCCTTTTTTTTACACAGACACACATATGCTTTGATTACTTTACGCTTTAATTACTTGTTTACTGAAATGTATGGGGATGATTGTTCTTATGTTGGATATATGATGCTTTGGCAATGTTGTTATTACATTCATGCCAATAAAGCTAATTTGAATTGAATTGAATTGATCTGTGGTGATCAGTGTAGTGGTTGAATGTTGTGGTTACGCCCTCACCCCGTCATGCAGACTTTGTGCTGACTGATGCCAGCTCAGCTCAGTGAGTGAACACACGGCAGCCGGACCCGGGCACAGACCATGAACTGGATATAAAAAGGCACAGACAGAGAGGCCAGTCTGACCACCGGGAACACAGTACGAAGGTGTTTTTCTTGCCGGTTTGGCTCTTTTCATCCTGGTAGCTAGTTAGCTGACTTTCAACAGCAACAAGTAAGTTAAAGCCATGTGTCCATCAGGAATCTCCTTAAATCACAGAGTTGAGGCAGAACAGCCGGGAGACATCAGAGAGAAAGCCAGATAATATTTTCCATCAAATATGATCCAGTTTCAGCAAAATCAGTGAATAAAGTTGTGCTTTCCTACAGTATTCAGCGGTGCCACTCCCATAAACACTATTTTTCAGCAGCATCATAAAAACAAAGAAAAAACCCCACTGACTATTAATTTAATTTAGAAATAAACAGATAACCAACACGTTAATGCTGTGGCTGGTTGATGTGAATTCAATTGGAACTTTGTTGGGTCATTTAATCTTCAGCAAGTCTATTTCTCTTTTGATACAGTCGTTTTTCCATGCTTTCCATGTAGTGATGTACTAGTTGTCAGAAGTCATGGAGAAATGTGTTTTTATAGCACCTCAAGTATCAGTTTATGAAATTAGTCCTAGTAGTATGTAGCAGAAGGGAGTTACAAAACACAATTTCACTCTATAACTTGTTATTTTGTGACAATAAACCTACCTACCTGTCCACCTACCTAGTTGTCCTGAACTCAAATGTGTGAGTTGTTGTCAGGATTGATACTTTTCAAGCACCCCAAAATCAAAGAATAAAATATTTCATATTTATTTCTAACAACTTTTAAGAGACACATGTAACATGTTTGATACCCTCTGTGAATATAATCCAGTTAATCTTATTCCCACACATTCTATATGGTGGCTTTTCATAAGAAAGTCTGACACAATTTGATCAATATTGTATGCGGTGCTTTTAAGATTTCATAGCTGCTATTTAAGACTTTCATACTGCAACACTTGTCTTTGGTGTAGTAGTTTAAATGATGTAAGGCCCAAAAACAAACGTGAGTGAGGGTATGGTTGTGCATACCAGTGTATAGTCATTTTTTGTGTGGGAGAATGGTTTAGGACCTAATCAGAGTTACAGACCATTCATACACATACTATTTACCTCCACCACGCCCGGAAGAGAACGAGAGAGGGGAATAGAGAGCAGCAGAGAAACAGAGACAGAGACAGATGTGATTAAAAAGAGGAGTGAAAGAGGAAGGCAGATGATCAAAGAAAGAAAAGGGGAGGAGGAAAGAACGGATGCACATCTGTATACACACAAAAATGCACACAGTACAACTTTGGCAAGCACACATTTCATCAGAAAACATACCTAGTTGCATTTTATTATATCTCTTCAAAATAAATAAACATACAATATAACACAATGAAATAAGACTCATAACATCTCTGAAAGCCTGTAACAGAATAAACCTCAAAATAGTGCCTGTTTTTTAGTAAACATAACTTGTACATAACGTACAAAAAATACTACTCAAAAGTGTACAAAATGCAGCAAACAAATATCAAGTATTGTGCAGTTTCCCTCCACGTTATACCAGCTGTTGACAGTCAGTCATTACAGGGAAATTACTAGTGTTGAGTGCCAGAAGCTACATTAAAATCGTATGTCTCACCAGAATCCAGTGAGCAGTTAATGAGCAGCTAACAGCTCAGTGGCATAGCTCAGTTCATTTTGGTTCAGCAATACGAGCCATTCAGGGATCTCAGATGGCTCACATATGTGGTGGAATGTAAGTATGAAGTTAATACAATTTAATGCACTACTGAAACGGTATAATGCACTGAGTCTCAAAAGCGCTTCCTTTTTGGAACAAATACTAGTAGAATTTCCCCTACTGTAAAAACATTACACTTCCTCTGTAACAGCAGCACGCAGCTCCCAAACTAAAAAAGAAAAAAAAAGTTTTGTTGCTTTGCTCTATTGTTCTGTTGCATGACAGACATTTTAAAGCATAATCAACAGTGAGAGAACACATTCAGAGCAGGATGCACGTACAGTGCATTCAGCTCTCCCCTTCCACTAACACTCACACACTTCCTCAAACGCACTAAATAGAAAACAAGACTGGACGTTACCACTCACTAAAATCCATTCCATACTTACATAAAAATGTATGTTCAAAGCTCCCTCTCTTCATGAAAGCACTGACCAGTAATAAATAGTTACTGGTGAATAATAGGGGCTCTGTATGTGGAGCCTGGATTAATCACAGCAGTAGGGTGTTTTTTTTGCCAAGCTGAAATAGCTTTAAATTTAAAAGACATAATCAAGTGAATGTTCACCTTTGCATGTCTGTAGTTGCACTTGGTATCAGCAGTATGCTTGTTAATGAAAGTAGATTCAGTAGTATTCAACTCGAGGGTCCATCTCCTCTTCATTGCTACATAAGAATCAGTCAATCATCAATAGTGCCTAACTCAAGTAGGACGTACCCACAAATTTGAACATGTGACATGCAGAATAAAAAGCTAACGAGACGAAATGAAAACATGAAATGTTAGAGCATTCAGTTGGCAGGTGTTTCATAGTCACACACTGCCACCGTCTGACATCTAAAGATATATACCCCTTTGGGACATGTCAGTTACATGACCACATGTCAATCATCTCAAAGATTATTGGGTCCTGCCCAACAGTAGTAGATAGAACAGAAACTATAACAAGTGTTTTCTTTCCCTCTTCTGCCTTCTCACTTTCTCCGCGCACTGCCCGGTCTCTTGACCTGCCAGAGGTGATTGTGGATGGTCAGGGCATCGACGCTGACCGACACAGACTTGGCGGGGATGACGGTGAACTGCTTTCTGTCCGAGCTGTATTTGTAGAGCTTGTCGATCATCTTGCGGGTGATAGCACGCGGCCCTGTGCCTGTGAACTTGATGATCTCCTCGGTGTCGGGTGAGTACGAGTAAATAGCGCGGAACTGGCACCCACCGTCACGGAAGAGGATAATCAAGTGATTCGACTCGCACTTTTCCAGCTCCTGTGGTCAGTAAAAGAGACACAAAACATCTTTTCTGAATATAGCAAAACATGAGCGAAAAATGTAACTGTGAAAGTAATACGTAAAATAAAAAACAACTTACTTTGCCATGAAAGTAACGCAGAGTTCACTGATGATAACGATGTAGGCATAGCTTCTACATATTCACAGTAAATCCACCATCAATACATTTATTTCAAGTGATCACACTAACCTCCAGAATAGCATTCTTCTGGCCCTCATTAACCCTTCCAGCCAGACAGCAGTGAGCGATGGCATTGATGATGATTGGCTTGTTGGACTTGGAGCTTGGCTCCTTGAAGAGTTTAGGTCCTTTAACAAACAAAAAAAATGACAAAAAGATTAATAAGATAAATGCATAAAAGTCTGTAAGCTATAGGATATTCAATCATTTTCTGCATTTCTGCTCACCATTGTACTCCACTGAAGTGATGGAAGAGGCTATAGAGCCGTTCTCCCAGTCCCTCTCCATGTTCCTGCTGGACGCCCTGCTCAGCATGGGGAACGACTCCATTGAGCACACAGATCCAGCTCTGGAAGCCACACATATATGTCAGTAAAATGACAATACCGATGCACAAGGTGGAAGAGAGATCATGTCCTCTGCACTTACACGAAACACAGGAAGTCTCACCTCTGTGACTCTGCCCCTCCAGAGATGACGCTGTCTGCCTCGGTCGCCAAAGAGAGTGTCGATCCTCTGTGACTGCAGATCAGGTCAGCTGAAAGTGACAGACAGAAGGATTTAGTCCCAGTCACTTTACTAAACAAAATAACATTGTTGTTTTCTGATCCCCACACACATGTTCTGCTGAATTTTCACATGACAAGCAGTGACCCAAATTGATGATTTAATGTTACTCTAAATGCAAAAAGTTTCATTTTCATTCAAACAAGGGACAGAAGCTGCATAATAAGAAAGACAACATTATGATAAATGGATCACAGGTAAGTCAGAACCACTAAGTCAGCTACTCTCAAAAGGCTGATTAATCTTCCAAATATGTAATAAATATCTGATAACCCATGGGTTTGCTGCATAAACAATCTTTATGGGCCATTAATGGTTTATATCACATCATGCAGAGCAGGTTAGAAGGTTCACCTCCCCTGCAGCCTGCTGCTGAGCCCTTCGCTTTGATCAACATCGACACCTTCAGAGAATTACCTGCATAACACACATGTACACACCCAGAGGATGACGACGATTGTACACAAGTGAGCTAAACTGAAAATACACGCGCACAAACATGGCCTATCAGCATGCAGACAAACACACTAGGCATCTTGGCTGACAAACAATACAAATGCAACATGGCGCACAAAAAAAGTACTAAACCACTAAAGGTGTTCTTACATGTGGTGGATCCTTTGGAGAGGCTGTTGGACTCTTCACGGTGCAGTGATTTGGGCCTGCTCTTGCGGGATTTAGTCCGTGGCCGAGGCTTGACCAGACCCTGCTCTTCCATCAATGCCTGCTGCTTCCTATGCAGGTATTCCTGCTTAATAAGCTCTCGTCGTGCCTTCTCCTCCTCCTTACGAACACGATCCTCTTCTGCCTTGCGCCTTCAAAAAGGGGAAGGAGAGTTAGATGCATAATTTATCTTCATAACCAAGATACACCCCTGTTCACCTGTGTACCTGCAGACTTAGACAGGTCATTTTCCTTATAATTAATATGTGAGCGTGTGAAACCAAAACTTACCTGGCCTCGTCACGCTTCAGCTCACTCTCAGCTTCTTGCTGTTGTTTGCGTAGTCTCGACTCTTCAGCTTTGCGTTGCTGTTTTAGAAGGAAGGCAGCGCGACGTTTCGCCATTTCATCCTCTGCTTTTTCCTCATCCTGGAGAATTTAAAAAAAGAGTGATCATCATTGAATTAGTGGTTATGCTTCCCAGATGGTACTCTTGATATTCCAAATAACAAGTTACGCACACAAGCACACATAAAAAAATACAGATATCCTAAATTTTACCTTAAAGAAGAAGCCTAGCACATTCTTCTGCTCGCCTTCTGCTGTGCAGTCTGTAACGTCTGCACTGCCATTCTCCAGTGGATCCTTGAGCTCTGATAGGTCAACCTCAATCAATTGACCTTTGACTCTGGTATTCTCATCTCCAACCACAGCCTCTTTCACTGAGTTTGCAACATTGTTCTCCTCTTGTTCTGCAGTCTGTGAAGGAGACATCAATATACTTGAGAGGACTTGTGGGTCCTGTGACTGGGTGCTGTCCAAAGAGGGCCCTGTTCCCTCTCCAATGCTGCATTTGTTTGGGTCATCATGGACTCTGAAGGTGGTGTTTCTCTGAATGTTTCTCTCTAGCCTAGTGCTCTCAACCATACTCGGTGTCTTCTGGTCTCCAAAAGAGTTTTCACTAGGAGACTGAGTATTAGACTGGACAGAAACCATCTTGCTGTTGTCTTTACTCTGTTTTTGCTTCAAGGCTTTGCTGCGTTGGCTGGAGCTAAGCTTGGGAGGACGGCGAGCAGGGGCAGAGCTGCTGCCACAGATATCCACAAAGTGAACGTCAAAGGATGTGCAATCTGAGGTAAAGGATGTTGATTGTGTTGTGTTTGGGGTTGTGCTAGGGCTTGAGCTAGGGCTTGACTCTACACGTTCTGGAGGTGACACCACACGCTTCATCAGCAGGTCTTGCTGTAAAGAGAGCTGCATCATCTGGTGCTGAATGGAACTTATAGCTTCATTGAGTAGATCTATGGAGTGGGAACACTCATTCAAGTCAGGTTCAGCCGTATTATCCTGGGACACAGTGTTCAACCTGTTATCTCTGTTCATTTGTCTTCCCTCTGTTTGACCTGCCTTTGCCTGGACCATCAGAACATCAAGACAGGAGTCATCCTTGCAGGACGGGGTCTTCACTTTGCTCCTGTCAGCTAGTTCTGAGGATTCCTGGGAGTGTTTGAGGGGCAGAGGAAGTGTGTCACTCTTCCCTCCACCCTTCTTAACAATGTTCAAGAAAGCAGCCTTCCCTAGCTTCAGTCGCTGCCGTGCTGATAGGGTCTCCATCTTCTTCTTCTGATACTCAATAGCACGTCTTTGCTCTTCTAGCTGCATGTGAAGTTGCAGCAGCTCTGAAGGCACTACCGAGGGACTCACCACCATATTCTTCCCCAACATAGGCTCCTTCCCTATCCAGCTGGAGGTGCAGTCACTCCTCAGCTGCCAGGGAGGGCAGGGTTGCCCCCCCTCAGAGCCATCCGGTGTGGTTTTCTGAGAGCTGCTGGTACTTGAGAATCCATCACGGAGGCCAAGTTTAAGGCGCTTTCTCTCTGCAAAGCTGGTCATCTTGACACTGGTGCTGCCTGAAGCGCTGCAGCTGCTCGCCCAGGATATGGTACTGAGGCAAGGGCTTGAGCGTCCACTGCAGTCTTCCTTATCGTCCCGCTCACAGTCTTCCTTATCGTCCCGCTCACTAACCTTCGAGTCTTCTCTCAGTTTGGCAGACTCACCCTCTCCAAATTCACACGCCACTCCCTCCTCTATGTATTTTTCCCTTCCTCTCTTCACCACCTCTTTAGTCAGCTCCATCTGATCCTCCTCCTCCTCATCTTCCTCAAGGTCTGCAATGTCAGAGTCAGATTCTTGCCCTACCTCCAGTGCCGTGGAGAAAGGACTGTCGCTGTCTGGCTCTCCTGAAATATGAAGGAAAAAGCCATGGGACTGTTTCTTCCCAGAAGGAGAGATGTCTATAGACCCCTCTGTGGGTGGCCTGAGAGAGCTTGGGACTGATTCTACCATGGGTATGGGCGTAAAGGTATTTCTGTTTAACTCAGATACAGGGCCTTTTCTCTGTGAGGTGCTTGGGGCATGGGCGGCTGCTTTCCTAGCAGTTGCTAGTACTCTACAGCGACTCTCACCACTTTCCTCCTCCTTGTTCAGGGAAATGCTCTTCTCTTTGGCTGGTTTAGGGATGGCAGGCATCAGACGCTCCAGATAGTAGCTGTCTGCCTGGCAGTCAGGAGTAAATGGACCTATGTCGAGGCGGGGAGAGCAACGGCTATTAGAAACTCTTGAAGTGGAGGTTGCACTCTGGATTTCCAGCTCATCCTGCTCCATGTCACTCCCAAGTGGACGTCGAGAAAATGCAGAAGGATGGATTACAGCAACCAGTTCCTCCTCTTCTATTTCCTCCTCTTCATCCTCTATGTGCATGTGATTAAGAAGGCTTTGACCACTGAGTCTATGTTGAGGCAGCTGAGGACCTGACCCCAGCATGTGTTTGGGGGTGATGCTCATTATGTTGGAGGCCAAGCTGTCTTTGCTGATGGAGCGAGCAAGGCTGATACTGTCTGCATCGTCCTCGATGGGACAATGCAGGGCGTAAGGTACTTGCTGGGATAAAGGCCTGGACAGGGACAGAGGGAGGAATACAATTTATGTGAGCGAATTATATATATATATAGAATCATGGAACAACAATTGCCTGTTATTCAATTAAATTCAATTCGATTTTATTTATATAGCGCCGAATCACAACAACAGTTATCTCACAGCGCTTTTCATAAAAGAGCAGGTCTAGACCGTACTCTGTGATGTTATTTACAGAAGCCCAACAATTCCCACCAGGAGCAAGCACTAGGCGACAGAAGCAAGGAAAAACTTCCTTTTAAGAGGCAGAAACCTCGAGCAGAACCACGGCTCAGGGTGGGCGGCCATCTGCCTCGACCGGTTGGGGGTTAAGGAGAGAGAGAGAGAGAGGGCACGAGAGAGAGAGAGAGAGAGAGAGAGAGGGCAAGAGAGGAACCAAGAGAAAGAGAGAGAGGGATGGAAGGAGAGAGAGGTACAGTACTGTAAATACAGTAATGTTTATGTTATGCGTGTGCCTGCTGATACATTAATAAACACAGTAATTGTGAAGGTTGTAATAACACTGCTCACCTTGGCCTCCTTTCCGGCCAGGCCAGTATTGAGCCCTGATGCTGCCCATCTGGACATGTCATAGAGTTGGACCTATTCCTCAGTTCTGTAAGAAAGGAAATATAATCCACATTACCTAAAGGACCTCTCAAACATACAAAATTAATTTTAATAATCTACACCAGAGACATTTTAGAGCCTATAAGGACTTAGTCTACACTCAGGGAATGAACTCTTTGGATAGAATATAAAACTGACTTTGAACGCTAATTATTCCAGCGAAATACCTTGTTGTTTTTGTTAAAAGTGGACATTGAAATAAGGAAAGATACAGATTAAAGATTAGCGAAAGTTTGCTAATCCACAATTTAGCGAATGTTAGTTATGCTACGTTCCAGACAACTCAGAATTCGAAAATCTTCGATCGCCAGCATCACTTACCCCACCTTTAATTCCACTGAAGACGCTGTTAAAAATGAATGCCTTTCCTTTATGGATCTCCAAAAGCAAGACTTCACTCTCAGAACACTTAAAAGTTCTTCTTTTTTTTCCTCTTTATTTTCATGAATACCCTCAATTATGCACAGAAGGCATTTATTATGTTTATGCATGCCATTTACACAGTTATCTGAAGTTAGGAGCATCTGCTGAATTGGACGTGACACATTTGTTCCAGACCACCGTACAAAAAAAGTAAAAGAAAATTAAGATAAGACTATGAAAAATGTTCTTGCATGAGGGCCAATGTTAATTCTGCTCTTTATCTTCCCTCTCTCTTTTCAGTGTTAAAGACTTTTGTTTGGTTTGGGACTTGAGGCAGCAAAAACTCTGCACTGGAGCTAGAGTAAATTACCTGAAGTGCTCTCCTCAGCCACTTTCTGTTGTCTCTGTCTCAGGGGCAGTAAAGAGTGAGATGGGCTTAATGGTCTTTGTTTTGTGCTGTAAGGGAAAGACAGATGTTTAGGTATTGATGTATTGATACATCTGGTTTGATTTTAGCTTGTGAAATGTTTGCTAAAAGAAACTAAAAATAATGCTCATAGTGTGTTTCAAAAATAGCCCTGATGTAGTGTGATTTTAGAATTAAAATATTTAGGAAGATGCTTTAATATGTTAGGTGCAGAGCAATTATAATATTACAGTTAAAGTGCTGTTGTAATGTACTGATAAAAAAAATACTGGTCTTAAAGTTAGCAGTAGTCTTCAGATTTAAATGTACGTCACACTATAGATTGTTTTGATTTGTGACTTTTACCATACTAAACTAGTGTATGAGTACTAAAAATGTACATTACAAGCACACAAATGTGCAAATGGACAAATGTCAACAGAAAGGACAAAGCAAAGTTTAGGCATGTGGCGTTTCTCAGAACTAAAAAATAAAAACTGCATTACATTAATCAGTAAACCTGTAACTTGAAAGTGAAACTGTCTCTGTGTGGTGTTACTGGAAAAAACAATTACTGGATAATACCTGAGGTCAGGGCTCGGAGGTATGGTCAAGATGTCAGCAGAGTTTGATGTTGTCAGGAAACTACGTTTGGTGACGTTGGAGATGGGAACATGGGGTCGTGAACTCTTAGGCTGCAGCAGCAATCTCACTGCAAAAATGGTAGAACGAGATTTTAAGAAGGGACCCTATAACATGAGCCATGAGCAGCTCAATAAATTACAAGTGGAGAGTGTGTTATACCATCTCTGATTTCCTGAAGGTCCCTGGGCTGTACAAACTCTGGCTTCACACACTCAAACCACCAGAAGAGCTCAGCAATGAAGACCATCACATTATTCTGCAAGACAATGATCAAGTTTAACGTCAACAGGAAATCATGATAATGTTGTTGGAGCCATTTTAAAAAGTATTTTCATATATGTTATGAATTTTTTTTGCGCTCACCTTTAATACTGGTGGAGAATACAACATGTCCTCAGGCTTCAGATAGAAGCATTTGTTCAGGTATTCATTAGAAAACTCCTTTAGTAGCTGGATGTTGTACACAGTGTCTGCTATGGAAGGAACCTCCTTCAGACAGATATCTGCACAATAATGGGACAACAATGCTTTATTCCATAGGCTGTGAGGTTGCTAAATCAATGACATGACTTTATGCACTACACTGAATTTTAATCTCATATCCGCCAGTTGGGCACTTTTAGTACCAGACACTTAAATTTTTTATTCATGTGCGTTTCTGTTGTGTCTATTGATCCCAGGGAAATGCTATTTAATTCTACCTGTACTACTGTTGTATCTCTGGTAAATGACAATAAATCTTATCTTATCTTATCTTAATGGGCAAAACTATCAAGTTATTACTGCATACTATAATAATAAAGTGGTAAATCAAGACTATTTTTAATCATTTAAAAAAAACTGGGCTTTTTGGGAAATACAGGTGCTGGTCATATAATTAGAATATCATCAAAAAGTTGATTTATTTCAGTAATTCCATTCAAAAAGTGAAACTTGTATAATGTGTACATTCATTCCACACAGACTGATATATTTCAAGTGTTCAATCCTTTTAATTTTGATGATATAATTGACTAATGAAAACCCCCAAATCACTATGTCAGGAAATTAGAATATTGTGAAAAGGTTCAATATTGAAGACACCTGGTGCCACACTCTAATCAGCTAATTAACTATAAAACACCTGCAAAAGCCTTTAAATGGTCTCTCAGTCTAGTTCTGTAGGCTACACAATCATGGGGAAGACCGCTGACTTGACAGCTGTCCAAAAGACGACCATTGACACCTTGCACGAGGAGGGCAAGACACAAAATTGCTAAAGAGGCTGGCTGTTCACAGAGCTCTGTGTCCAAGCACATTAATAGAGAGGCAAAGGGAAGGAAAAGATGTGGTAGAAAAAAGTGTACAAGCAATAGGGATAACCGCACCCTGGAGAGGATTGTGAAACAAAACCCATTCAAAAATGTGGGGGAGATTCACAAAGAGTGGACTGCAGCTGGAGTCAGTGCTTCAAGAACCACCACGCACAGACGTATGCAAGACATGGGTTTCAGCTGTCGCATTCCTTGTGTCAAGCTCTTGAACAAGACACAGCGTCAGAACCGTCTCGCCTGCGCTGAAGACAAAAAGCACTGGACTGCTGCTGAGTGGTCCAAAGTTATGTTCTCTGATGAAACTAAATTTTGCATTTCCTTTGGAAATCAAGGTCCCAGAGTCTGGAGGAAGAGAGGAGAGGCACAGAATCCACATTGCTTGAAGTCCAGAGTAAAGTTTCCACAGTCAGTGATGGTTTGGGGTGCCATGTCATCTGCTGGTGTTGGTCCACTGTGTTTTCTGAGGTCCAAGGTCAACGCAGCCGTCTACCAGGAAGTTTTAGAGCACTTCATGCTTCCTGCTGCTGACCAACTTTATGGAGATGCAGATTTCATTTTCCAACAGGACTTTGCACCTGCACACAGTGCCAAAGCTACCAGTACCTGGTTTAAGGACCATGGTATCCCTGTTCTTAATTGGCCAGCAAACTCGCCTGACCTTAACCCTATAGAAAATCTTTGTGAAGAGGAAGATGTGATACGCCAGACCCAACAATGCAGAAGAGCTGAATGCCACTACCAGAGCAACCTGGGCTCTCATAACACCTGAGCAGTGCCACAGACTGATGGACTCCATGCCACGCCGCATTGCTGCAGTAATTCAGGCAAAAGGAGCCCCAACTAAGTATTGAGTGCTGTACATGCTCATACTTTTCATGTTCATACTTTTCAGTTGGCCATCATTTCTAAAAATCCTTTTTTAGTATTGGTCTTAAGTAATATTAAAATTTTCTGAGATACTGAATTTGGGATTTTCATTAGTTGTCAGTTTTAATCATCACAATTAAATGAAATAAACATTTGAAATATATCAGTCTGTGTGTAATGAATGAATATAATATCCAAGTTTAACTTTTTGAATGGAATTACTGAAATAAATCAACTTTGATGATATTCTAATTATATGACCAGCACCTGTACACTTTTTCTTTGCTTTCTTGCTGAGAGTTAACTTAGTTTAGTAATAAAACTTGAAACAGGGAAAAACAGCTAGTCTTACTCTCTGTGTGGGAGGAGGAGGCATAAAAAAGGAGCTATAAGTGAACTTTAGAGGTGCTAGTAGGCTGATTTGTTTACCTTATCCTTACAGCTAGCCAGGCTCCCTGTTTTCCCGTGCTGCTAGTCTTAAATCTAGGCTAAGCTAGTGGTTCTAAATTCACATTTAGCATCCAGACATGAGAGTGGTATCAATGCACTCATCTAGCTCTAGGAAAGAAAGTGAATTTCCCAAAATTGAAAACTGTTCTTTTAAAGGATCATATAACCTCAGGCAACAGTGGTGGACTGTGGCTCCAGAAAGTGAACATCTATTGTATCTTGTATCTTCCTTCAATGGATCTAGCAGTCCAGTGTTACTGTACCTTCCAATCTAATGAGCTCTGGGCAATAGAAGTGGATCACAGACAGCAGAGCTGTGCCGTCAGACACATCCTTCAACAGGTCGTCCAACAGAGGGAAGTGCTGAAATGTCCGACCAGACAGGTGATCTCTGCGGTAACGTACCTACACAGCAAGAGAGGGCACAAGTTTAAAGTCAGAACACTGAGTCACATCCTCACTTGTCACACACAAACACAACATTTACTTTGTAAATTATTTTCTGGCTTTAATATGTATACGGCAGAATAGGTATCTGTAACTATTATCAGATATCATATTATGTCAGGTGTAGGTTTGGTCTTTTAGGGCATGTTGTGCATCTGACCTGTCATGGAAGCTACCACCTTCAGGTATAATAATTTAACTAAGACTGAGGTGGGTTTAGTAGTTGGTGCATGTCAGAAATGACAAAATGGGAATAACAATAAAGGCAGGGATGGAAATAAGAAAAAGGTAAATGGTGAGTATCGTGAGAGAAAACTCCACAGGCTCTAATAAGCCATTGAGCCTGTAATAATAATAAATTAGACTGGTGAATGAAGAAAGAAATGACTGAGCAGTGACTGGATGAGTGGACATCACTGAATGTGGACTCCAGACAGGTTACTTTATGGCAAGAATGAGTTAGAACTGCCTGGTAGTTCACTATAAAACCAAAAACAATATAAAAACAAACCAGAATGTAATGAGAAAAGGGTGAAAATTGAAGGAATTGCTTAAGGGTTTCATGCAAAGCAATGGCAAATGAGCAGAGTGAGTCTAATGAGCTTGTTATTTCCTCCTTTTCCACCAAGGGGCACTGCGTTATCTTCATTATACACATTATATATATACATAACTGCATTCTCTGTAAAACAAATTTGAATTCATTTAGGTCTTTTCTGCGGTGTATCTCATTAGCTTTTATTTTTGTTTTGGCTCGTTTTTGTGCTGTCTGGTCTGACACTGACACACATGCACCTCAAACAGACGTACATACACTCACACAGGACACTGCTAGCAGTTGCACTTACAGGTACAAGCTTCCAATACCATTTGGAGGGAGACTAGTATCCAAGAGGCAGGAAGGAAAGGAAAGTTTGGGGAGACACAAACAGGAAGAGCAGCACACAATTCAAGGGTCATATGCAGTGACAGTGAATCAGATTGCCTGTTATGGAGACAGATCTGATCTTAAAGACAACTAGAAAGGGTTAGACAGACAGAGTCAAGAATTCAAATTTTACAGAGAAGAGGCACATGAGGAAAAAGACTACAGGTGTATTTTGTAATTAAAGGTTCAGTGACTACTTTGTGTTGTCACATTGTTTCAGACAAATGCAACCTCATTACCCTCTGAGAAGCAGCTCAACAACAATGCTTCCACTTGTTTTGTTTTTTTAAAAATATGCCTTTTCTGTATGGTTGATAAGAACCAGGGTGAGTCAACATAGTGCTGAGGTTTTCAAACTGTGAGGTATGCCTCCCCAGGGAGGCGTGGAAGAGTTGAAGGAGAGGCGGGGAGTTATAACTCAGTCAAATATGAACACACAGGAATGACAAACACTTCCCGATTATATCATTATCTCCATCACAAACAAATGTCCACAACTCAGGAATCATAGAAAAAAGATAACTCCAGAACTTGCCTGAGAATCATCATGTTTTTAATTTTCTTCAGTATGAGGTATTCTAGTAATTAAAAACAGGAACTGCTAAGAGGTAATACAGCATACCTATAATGGTGCTATTTCGTCAAAATGTATAGAAATATAGGCTAATAACAGAGGGCTCAAGTTGTAGCCCAAAGCTAACTAACTGATTCCATGGCAACATTATACTTCCTGTTTAAATCCCACAACGTCCCGAAATAATGGGAAATTATGGGAACTGCAGTTCAAAAAAACTACTAGTAAATCGCGATACAGAGTTGCAGTGAAAAAATAGAAACTAATTTAAAAGCCGTCGCTTTGGAACCCTGTACGCTGTGACTACATCCATTTTCAGTGGTGAGAGACTGGACTTGCTTGTCATCACAGAAACAGATCCTAAGATTGTGATGTTTACTGTAGCTTCAGTAATATCTGCTGTTATCCCTTCTGCTTTCCCTTCCCTAGACAAAAGGTCAACAACTGCACCCAGGGTGGGTTTGTCTCAATTTTGGAGGGGGGGCACAGTTTCAGACTTTGAAAACCTCTGATATAGGGTGTCCACTCTAAACGCAAAAAAACTCTGTGATCAGAGGGTGATGTGAGGTGCTCACCAGATCACAACGCAAGATCCAGTGACTAAACCTACACAATTGACAGTTAATGCACTCAGTGAGAAATGGATGCATGCATGTAAAATCCAAGACAATAAACACAGGTAACAACATCACTAAAGAAAGACTATTCAACATACAGGAAGCTTTCTTTCCAAGCAGTGAGATAAAGAGACAAGGTGACAGATTGTGAGCTAAGGGAATACAACAAAGGGACACCTTTTGGTGACTGGGTGAATCCAGCAGATGTTGCTTCATTTTCAGCTCTTTTTCCATGATCTCCCTCATCTTTATGTTCACCTGTAGCAACAAAGACACTGTAGATCAACACAGAAAGACAAGCGCACAAATGCAAACATGAACACCCCTGTCTGGCTCTTACCTTGTTGATCCAAAAAACCATTGCGTCTTCCAGGTCAAAAGGGAGCTCCTTGGAGGCACTGAAGTTGGAAAAACGCTTGACGCTGGACACCACCTTCTCTATGCTGATCATCTCCACAGTGTAGGCCATCATCAGGGCATCAATAAGGTGGATGTGGGAGCTCTGCAAGAACACAGACTTTGAGTCTTTGAATGTTACAACAGAAACCTAATTTTGGATTTGGCAAGCACTACATTTAAATTAAATTTCCTGCCCCGTGTCATGATAATCAATCTCTGCATTAAGTAACATAGTATTTCTGATGTGTACACTGTAAATCTTTCTTAGAAACAGTTTATATTGTATACAGTTATTGTACTGCATTATTATTAGTAGTATGTGTGAGCTTTTCTGCAGACAGGGAAGACAAAAGAGATGCTCCATCACCGAGTTGCCATGGAAACAGGGAAGAACTTCCTGACTGAAACATGCAGAGTTTAAACAGTAAAGTCAGCGTTCACGTGAGGCAATCACTAAGTCATTATTGTATGACTCACACACTGTTTATTTGTACAAAAAGGCCAGGGTGAGTAAACTGTGCAGAATGAAAACGTGTTTTTGTTTTGATGGAAGCCTGGATTTCTTTTTACCTTAAAAGGTTATTTATATAGTATTGAAAGTCTGATTGATGGATGTCAAATAATCTATTACATGTTATGATGGTTTCAGAGTTACTTTAGTGTTTCCACTTGAGTTTAATATGAATCTATATAGCCAAGAGCAAAGACTAAATTCATATCCTGACACTTAAACACAGCATAAACTGCTGCTTCTCAGCCAGCTTGTTTCCTTTTGCATTTTGACACATGTGGGATATGACTAATAGTGGGTTCATATTAAATGACAAATGCGTAGCCTTTTGGTTCATTTTGTTTCATTAATATTTTAGTTTTACACTCCTCCAAACCTGCAAAATACTCACATCCGCTGACGCATTATTTATTCCAACTCTTGGCTTATATTTGGCTCTGGAAAGCAAAGTCACATTAGCTTGTTACCAGATGGCAAGTGTGGCTTGCCAGTTCACTGGGTTATCCTGCAAAGAATGCAACCTCATTTATATAAAAATAAACCTTTCCTGATTAACTAATTATATAATTCTTAAAGGAGTATAATTTTTTTTTTTTGCCACCAGTGGAACAAGCTGTAAATCGAACATGACATATTATCAACTGTGAATGAGTAGCAAACAGTACCTATTACATATTCAGCAGAAACAGAACAACATTAGAATTTATTTGGAGTTATGGATCTGATCACCTGATGAACGAAAGTCTATTCATCACTGTATTTGCTATTGGTATGAGGACCAATGTTTTACAGACTCAAATGACCTAGTTTTATTTAACCTCATTTATTTAAATCTACATGATGATCATGACGCCAATCCTTAACAGTGATCATTTGACTTACCTCTTGAAGAATACTAAGATGCAGAAGCTTCACAAACCACTACAACTAATGTGCACAGAGGTCAAATATAGCCAACAGACAGATAACAGGTTTCAGAATACATTATGATAGGTTGAGATACAAAGCACTAATATGCTGAGTCAATGTTGGTCTATAACTTGACATAAGGTTAAGCTACCCACCATCTTGATCGGAGCTGAGCTGAGGTCCAGATCAGAGACAGGTGTGTTGTCTGTCTGCAGGACATAGATGCCTTTCCTGGACAGAGCCTGCATGACAGACTGGTGGCTTTGAAGGGAGGCAGCCTGTTCAGCGTGCAGGATGAGGCCGCATACCCGGCAGTACAGCTCTCCAGACAGCAGCAGGCGGATGATGGGGGGCTTGATGTGTTCCTGCTCATACTGGTCAGTATAAAAGGGGTCCTGCAGGTCTGTAGGGATGTGATCTGAAGAGAATGACAAACATACATGCATAATTATATGAGTGTCTACTTGATGAGACATTCAGGGTTAGCCACTTTTTTTCCTATTAAAGTTGTCACACCATGCATCCACACTCAAACTATTTTTGGGTAGACACGTGTCCACCAATGTCTCACCATGTTACATAACAGAGAAGCTCTCAGGACACAGACCTTCAAGGTATTAGACTGTCTAAGAAGAAACCAGTGCGAGGGGAGAACACTGAGACAAAGTCAGTGGTGAAACAGCATGCCAGGTAGCAACCCTGAAGGCCAATAGGTGGACAAGAGGCTTTAAGCCAATGAGCTAACACGAATTAGTGGCGATATCTTAAGCTGATGGTGTTGTCCCAGCCAGCCTGGTGTTTTCCTGCTCATGGACACAGACATGGGGCAGCTATTTTTATATGCCTTGGACATGTTAATCCAGAGTTAAGGCCTGAAGCACTCACGGAGCACTTTCCAGCACTTTCTGGGTAGATTTAGGCAGGAATAAAGAGGGAGACTGTTGTCTGATAGCTATGCAGCAACAAAAGGAAAAACAAGTGAGAAATTGGAATTATAATTGTTTTGTACATGACAACAGTCATAAATGATTGGTGGTCGACCATGTGCTTTTCAATGGCCAATGCCAATGCCACTTTAATAAACTTTAACTTTAACTTTAGCTTTATTTAGAGAGCAGTGTGAACAATGGCCGATATATAATGCCGATATCAAAAAAAAAAAAAGAAAAGTCATGTATAATTCCATTATTCCGTCCAGAGTATAATCTAATACATATGACAATATTCAGTAGCATGCTGTTTTAGATTAAATCTTTAAGCTGTTTCAGACTTATGTTTAAGGGAGAGTGGGGTACAATTTGTCAGAAGTAACATCATCAACTTCATTATTCTACAGTATAACTAATTGTATTATGAGTATTATGTCAAAATGCCAGATATCGGCCCGATTAATCGGCCAAACAATCTATCGATCACTATTATTGACCTACATTTTACCATCCAGATCATTTAGAGATATAGGAACGTGCCCACTTCAGTACACATAGCTTGAAGGAGTTTGAGAATGAGTTTCAGATCTCATGTCGTTATGCTAAGTATGAAGCAGACTATTAGCTGGCAAGAAAAGCAAATTGTCATTTCCACGTGTCAGTTTTTGTACAGAGTAAAAAATGTGAATATAACATGTTAAATAGTGAGCTTTAGAGGTGCTGGTAGGCAGATTTTTTAAGCTTTGGTAAGAGCCAGACTAGCTGTTTTCACCTACTTCCAGTATAGGCTAGGCTAACAGCCTGCTGGGTCTAGCTTCATGGTTAATGCACAGAGTAGTACTAATCTTCTCATCTAACTCTTCAATTCAGTTCAAGTTAATACAACTTCATTAATCCACAAAGGCAAATAGATTTTAGGGCATGGCTAAAAACAGACATATGCACAGACAGACAATTACAAGCAAAAGACTCTTGGTAAGAAAGCAAATAAGAGTATTTCCCTAAATGTCAACAAGCCACAGTTTTAAACATCCACTGGATTGTCCTGTGCTACTTTCTGGTGCTCTTTTGACCTACCATAAAAACTGCAGTTATGCACTTTTTTGTTAAAATTCACCATTTGTTTCACTATCAAACTAAATGGTTTAAAAAAAACTGGGCTTACTGCTTGTGTTGCTGTTATAAGGCTTTGTCTGTCAAAGTCACATGTCTCAAGATCTCAGCAATGGCACATATTAATAAAATTTCATCTTAAATGATAAGAATAAAGACAGAAACTAAGAAAATAAGATGCAGGCTTTTAAATAAATGGATAAATGATGACAGTTGCATCGATAGTCAAGCACTTAACAACAGCATCTTCTCTCATTTTGCTTCACATTAGAAGCCAGCTGACTGAGAGATACAGACAACAAAAAGACATCCATTAGTGGGAAACACACACACACACACACACACACACACACACACACACACACACACACACACACACAGCATGCTCAGATTAGAGTTGTAGCACACTGTGAAAACCGTAGCTTTCACAACAGACTGCTTGCTTGGCACAGTCTACCTACAGTATCTATCTCACTCTCTGCTCTTGTGTAGTGCTGCCATATGGCCACGAGTATCCCAGATCATGTAAGAAAATGCTTACTATGCATCCATCCAGGTCTTTCTCGATCTGTCTCATTTGCATATCTCTCAACAAAAGCAAATCTTGCCTGTCTTCCTCCCTGCCCCTTCCTCAGCCTCAGCTGTCCCAGAATGCCCCCTCATCCTCCCTGGTAGCTGTGGAGATGGTGATGGGGGATGCCAATGTGGCCGGAGGTGGGGGCTGGGCTGCTGTCCCATCTCCTCACTAAGGCCTGCTCATTGGATCGTTTTATGGTTCCTGACATCAGGAGGTGGATGTGTGTATGTGTGTGTGTGTTACAGTGGCGTGAATAATTGGAGGGGGGAGGCAGGAGCTCCTCTCTAATCCTAGTTACTAATACTCCTTAGATATTTATTATCCACCTGATACAAGCATCAAAGCCCACCCTGGTGTGCATCTGTGTGTATGTGTGTGTTTGAGAAATCAAGAGGAGGGGGTGTAGGGAAAGCCTTTGTTCCTATTCGTTCAGACGCAAGGTCAGATTGATCAGCAGAGATCTTGCTGACAGTCAGGGCAGGGCTGTCAGACTCTGGGCTATGCAGGCGAAAGACACAACTACTCTCTCCAATACGAAGGCTTAATGGAGTATGTTGGGAAAACATAGCCTTTAAGCCAATGCACCCTGTGGACTCATTTGGAGGTCTGAGCCTGCAGGAAAAAATTAAGGCTTTATGCTTCATATATTAGCTAACAGTGTTGTTACAGTTCCAACATTAAACAATAATTCATCATTGGTGAAAGAGGAAAGGAATAAAGTAAAGAATAAAAAAATGAATGGCTCTGATTAATGGTAACAACATTTAGAAAAGATTTCAAGGTTCCTCCAAAGGCCATTAATAAAACTGTCCTGAGTCTAAACAAACAAAGGTCCAATCCCATTAAACACTTAAACATGTGACTGGCTGACTTTCACACCAGCACACACCAACAAACACAGCAGTGCTGGGAGGACAGTGTTGTCTAGTCCTCCCAGCACTGCTGTGTTGGTTGGTTTGCTAATCTAATAAGAGTTGTTTTGGTTCTTCTGACCTCCACAGTGACTGTCAATGACCAGGGATTGTATCATAGAAAACAAACATAAAACAGACTCATTGTATTTCTACATGAGATATTGTTCCAAAACAGGAACACATTACTGATAAGTTTTGGGCTGTCGACATTATAGGATTAACAGGAAAATAGCATCCTAAAGCTTTTCAAGTAGCTAAAAAAAAAATTCTAGATTCAGTGAATTAGGTGTCTATTGGCAGTTTACCCAAATGCTGCATGGTCATGTTTATTTGCATTACTTACTACAGTTTTAGGATTATCACATAATTCATCATATGTTGCCAAGAACAGATGAACTATTACATACTCATAAGCTACACTTAGTTATCTGTCTTACAATCACATACCCAGTTAACAAAAATATTTAATTCCTGCCTAAACCTGAATTCCATATGTGCTTTGCACTGCATTATTGAAATGGTAACAATGAAAGAACAAGTAAGACATGAATTCAATTCAATTCAACGTGAGAGAGCAAAACTGCAAAACAAAAAAATTGAGTTATTTTGACATGCCACAGTAATCCCTGGCCTCATGTTAACTAACTCACATAATAAAATAAAAATGATTCTAATAAGTTCTGTGTGAGGTATCCAGATTTGTTGTTTTAAATGTGGAAGAAAAGAGAGGCATCGGATCATTACCTGTATCAGTAGACACCCTGAGTTGTGGTACTGGAATCAGTATCGTTAGACAAAGCTGGATCTAGAGCTGTAACAATTAGTTGATCAACAGAAAATAAATATGCAACTATTCTGGTACTCTAATCATTGTATCATTTTTCAAGGAAAACTGTCAAACATTTCCTAGTTCGAGCTTCTTAATTGCGATAATTTGATGCTTTTCTTTGTCTTATAGGATAATAAACGAAATATATTTCAGTTTTGGACTTAAGTTTCTAAATTTTGTAGAGCTGAAGCAATTCAAATGTACAAAACTACATGCACTGTACCATCTCTTCTGTATGAACGTGTTAACGTTATGATAATTGTCAAATCACGTAATACTAGTACTGTCCATTCTGTGTGAAAAAGGAGTTGAGATAGTGTAGTTAGTGCAAGAAATCAGTCTCTTGCTGTGAAGGGTGTTCCTGGCACACTGAAGTCAGGAGGAGCCAATCAGATTAAGGGAAGCAGGAAGCTCGACGGGGGAAAAGGTGATGGTTTGGTGTTTATTAAGGGCATCCGATCTCTGCCCTGGAAGAACAGTGCTATGTAACAACAGAGGTAAATCTCTGACCAGCAACACAGACTGGCGGAAAGCATAAAAATGCTCCAGCTGTTTGGAATTTATGTGATATCACTCACACTGATCGTGGATGTCATATTTTTGTTTCCACTTTGAAAAATAAGGTGTGTCTCTACCGCTGTTTACTTCACCACATGTTATGCTGCAATGTTAAGCTTTGAATTTCAGGGTTTTGTTCCCCTCTCAGAGTCATTTTACCGAGTCATCCACTGCAACACAGGAGACAGCACTGCAGGGCAGGAAACACTTAATCTACATTATGTCCGGCTCATAAAATGGATAAGATGACAAAGAGTTTTCCTTTACTGAATTGCTCTGTCTGTGTGTCCGTCCAAATGCCTCATTGTTACAGTGACAATAAAATCACAGACTAGTAGGAGAATGCATGAACAGCACAGCTGAGCTGAGCAATCAGTGACACAAAAACCCACATTCAAGGAGTCATTTCCAGACATTTGCTTACAGCCTGGCAATGTGGAGCAATCATTTTTAATGTTTTAGTAGACCTCGTCAGAGCTGGCAAGGCTAGTGACCTGTGTATAAAAGACTTTGGCTGACAGTGGGATGTGGTACAAGTCTTCAAATACGAAGGACTGGACTGTGGCTACACTATCATGGTATGAAAACCTTTTTGTCAGGATGTTTGTTTACATTTTTGACATTGAAAAGAACCAGAAACCAAGTCAAATGACTATCTGAATGATACTCAGTAACTTTGTGACGTCTTTTAAATCTATCATGCAAACAGGAAGGTTATGAACACAAATACATGATTTACTAAGTGGGAACTGGAGATAAAGATACAGTTTATTTGTATTGTCTTTTTGGACCAAATACAGATATGACCACTATTTCTAAATCACATGATGCATAGTCCCAGCTCATGCATTTGACCACATTATCAATTGCAATTTTGAATTTTTACTAAATAAGACAGATACTAAACTCATGTGGATAGCAGGGTTTCCTGCAGTGTTTTATAATTCACCTTAAAGACCACTACATTCACTTTGATAAAATAAAACATTAGGTCTCATTAGAGAAGAACAGATGCACAATTTCATATATTTAATGAGTGTGACTATTGTGAGGGCATTCATCTACTGACTAAATTGATCTCGAGACGAGATGCGTATAGATATGGGTGGCTTACTGCCCCAGCTAAGAAATTTAGATAATAATCTGCATCAGCCAATACCTACACTTACAAGGCCAATTTATCATCCTAAATGACAGCAAATCTAATCTAAAACCATTAATGGCTTGTGTTAAATATATATTGTTATACTGTAGAAAAGAATGCAGTTGATTGACTTCACTTCTGACAAACTGTACCCCACTCTCCCGTAAACACCAGTCACGTTTTTGAAAACTACAGCTCAAACCAATGTATTTTTCTATTTCCTTAAAAAATCCATCTAAAACAACATGTTACTGACTAAGATAACCATGTATATTATATTGTACTCTGTATGGAATAATGGAATTAAACATGACTTTCTGATATCGGCATTATATATCGGCCATCAGCGGCCCTGCTCTCTAAATACCAACATTGGCTATTGAAAAACCGGTATTGGTCAACCACCAAAATATTACCTGTATATAGATATATAGTAATACCAGGAGTCCGCTATAAGTCTGCAACTAATGATTATTTTCATTATCAATTAATCTGCTGATTGCTTTCTTGATACACTGATGTTGACATGATTTTGGTCTATAAAATTTCATGAATATGTTTTTTTTAAAAGCAGTTTCCTACAGCCCAAAGTGACTTTTTTAAATGCCTTATTTTGTTCAACAAACAATCCAAAACCCAAATACATTCAGTTTACTATCCCATCAGACAACAAAAAACAGCAAATCTTCACATTTGAAGCTGGTAATATTATGATTTGATTTTGTTCTTAGCTTAACATAATAAAAGTGTTTTGTTTTTGTTGCTCTCCAAGGCAGCATGCCAGAAAAGGAACTGGTGCAAATGTTCAGGCTCAATTAACAGGACTTGCATCTAGCAAACTGTTCATACAACTGCAGTACGAATACTCCTACAATACTACATAGACTAAATTGTACAAATACCTTACAGTAGGTAACGTGCAGCGGCTGATATTTTATCAGGGGCTACATGCTGTAGCTAGGCTAGACAAACTGTCTGAGCTCAGTTCATGCGCAGTAGATGTTTGCTCCAATAAATAAACATATAAATAAAAATACACAATAATATGACTACGATAAGAAAACACGATTCAAAGTGTTAGCGAGAGGAAAAAACAGAGGAGGCCATACCTGTACCATGAGCTTTGGCAAACAACCAGCGGAGATTTGCGTCTATTTTGGCTCTTGCAGAGTCGTAGAGCTCCAGCGGCACGACCTGAGCCTCCATGCTCTCTCCTGCATCATCTGCGGCCGCTGCTCTCCTCCAGGTGCTGTCCCTGCCAGCACTCACCCCCACATCCATCCTGCAAGCAGGCACACGGGAAAACATTATTGCCAATGGCATCCAACTGCATTACATCATCGATATGAAGAACAACAGCCAGGGCCTCACTGACAGCACCTGCTCTGGTGATAATCCTACACACACACACACACACACACACTCACCTTGTTCAACCTGCTAGTACTGTAGGTGTCTCTGCTGTCAGTCACCATGATTCACATACCAAGACCATATTAAATCCCCCCCACACACCCACACCCCACCTATTTGCACATTGTTTCAGCTGATGATCAGCTGATGATGATGTTAGGTTGGAGTGATAGAAAAAGCAGCACTTAGGATGTAAATGAGAGCTGCTCCAGGCTTAGTAGCTAAACAAAATATAAGCATCTTTGAAAGCCGCTGTTAGTTATTTTTTGTCTAGGTCCAGTCGAGGCTGGACGGGGTGACCAATGAATGACCTGACATCAACACAGCACCGTTAAATTCATGGTATTACCGTTAGCTGGGTTGGCTAGCTAAACTGCGCAGGCACACACACCCCGACATTTCAGCAGACAAACATAACAAAGACTCACCTTTAAGAGTGCATTGGGTCCTCTCCTCAGCTTTATGTTTGAGATGGAGGTGTAGTTAAAACGTCGACATGTTGTTCCGGCTTCAGCTAACGTTAACGGTGAAATAACAGAGGACTCCTCCCTGCCCAGCGACACAAATCTCCGGCCTCTCAGGATAAAGCTGCGGCTGGTGGTTAATCCAATAATTAAAAAATCTGTTTGGCAACCATCCGGAAGTCTGTTTTAGAGGAAATTATTAATATCCCGAAGCCGGCTGTTTCATATTGACGCCCCCGAGAGAGGACTAGCAGGTCTAACGGAGCTCGGACTGCCCTCCGTCTCTATGGGGACTGTTGTCTCCTGTCAGCTCGGCTGCAACACACCTGTTGACCTGCTGGGGGCGCTGTAGGCCCGTATAGCTCTATCTATCTATCTATCTATCTATCTATCTATCTATCTATCTATCTATCTATCTATTCAACAAAAAAATACAAAATACAAGCATTGCATCTGTATAGAACATGCAAGAATTTATAAACTAAACTGATTAACAGCCTCAGTATTTGTTTGATAATATCTTATTTATTTATTTAATAACTAACTATTTGGGGCTCCATAGAGAGAGAGATTTTAAGAAGAATGGTAAAAACTAAAACAGTCCTGAGGGACAAGCTCCAAATCCACCGGATCCTAGATTTTCCATACATCAACCGATGGTCCCAAAAGTAGGCCTATTTACATTACTTAAGTAAAAGTAGCAATACCACAGTGTAGAAATATTCATTCCCAAGCATTAAACATGGTACTTAAGTAAAAGTATTAGCATGAAAATATAGCAAAAATAATAGTACTCATTATGAAGAATGGTCCTTTTCAGAATACTGTACATAATGTTATTCAATTGTCATTAGCCAACTGATGCGCTGATGTGTTCAGCACTTGCAATTGGTGTGGGGATCATACCTTGTGAATTTCCCCCACGCATCAATAGTGTTATTTTAGTGTATCTGAACCTACAATAATACATCATAATATATTTAGTGCTTATATTTTGCATTGTCAATCTGAATTTAGCAAATAAATGTAGTAGAGTACAATATTTGTGTAAGTATCTCAAAATTGGATCGAAGTTCAGTACTTGAGTAAATGCACTTAGTTACTCTCTACCACTGTTCAAAGTATTCAAATCCTTTATTTTATTGAAGTAGAAGTAACAATACTGCATTAAAGGTCCTCCATTCAGAGTGACAGACAGGTCACTCTCAGTGTTATATTATTATATATTATATAACATTAGAATATTATTAAGCCTGCAAATAATTGCGCTACAATTTAAGCAACATTTTCACATTATAGCTGGCCAAGTTAGAGCTTATAGATATAAAACATACTGTTGGTTAATGTATAACAATGGATTGTAATTTATAAACCTGTCATGTGTTTATAAGAAAATCTTAATCTGTAAAGTAACTGTAGCTGCAGTTTATGTAAAACATGCAATAGCTGCCTGTGAAATTTAGATGTGGAAGTGCTGAAATAAAGAGTGAATACTTAAAAATTGTGCAGCACTTGTGTAATCTACTCAGTCATGGTCCACCTTAGACACTCCAAGTCTGATAAACACCTATGTCTTTCAGCTCTGTGTTACCTGTTTGTTACACAGACTTTCTGTTGTAAATTCAACCAAATATTTTGACAGTTTTTTACAGGCAGTACTCCTCATTATTGATAAAGTGACTATGGACACATATTCCTGTGGTGTGCATGTTCTCACAGGAAGAGGTTTATACAGACTGAGGTCTAGTGGCTTCAATTTCAGCTGTACAAAATTCCAAAGAGTCCCGTGGCTTTAATCCATAGATAAGAATGCAACCCCAGAGGAATATGATTCCAGGTAATATAAACAATGCAATTTAGTGTGGAGAAATGAGCATGCAGTGGCGTGAAGTATGACTTTGAGACTCCGTGTGTAGACTGAATCCCATGATAGTATTTGTTTTTTTCCTGATCAGTCTGAACTAGCTATTTCTTTATTTTTCCAAGGGCTCAAGCACATGTCTTTAGAACCACTAAATATCTACTTTAAGGTATATTATGTAGGCAAAGGATAGCATAAACAGATGGAAGACTGGCTATGTTTTGTATAGTGGTATCCATGCATTTATTCAAGACAGAAATTTCTGATGTAATAGACAACAGCTGTGATGTTATCTTTGTGGGTGTCAGGCTATCACCACTGGAGGGCATCAGACACCAACGCTTTTGAGTTTGTTTTTTACATGAATGCAATGGATGTTGCGTTCAGTTTGAGGAACTACAAATCAGGTGGGAATACTGTCAGGCACATAATATTTCAGAAATGAAAATCAAAACAAGGAAGGAAGCCATATCTTAAAGCTTAACAGCAGCTTTTATTGAATCAAGACATTTTTTACAAAACATTTTAAATCAAGAAATACTTCTTTGCAAACTACAACTTTGCATGAACATTGATTTTGAATTACATCTTTTCTTAAAAAACATCTTTATCTCTGAATTAGTTTATAAAACATGACATTTAGACACCTTAAACCACACTCCTTTACAAAGTGCAGGTGATGTCATTAAACTCACAAACAAAGGTCCCCATTTCTTTCACAAACAATGTTCTCCACCTCAAAGACATATTTTTTACAAGATATCTCACAAATACATTGCTTTTCTTAGGAAAAACAAAAATCACACTTGTTGTATTTTAAATTGTGGCGCATGTAACATTTCAACTCTGCAATTTAACACTTAACAGGTTAAACATGGTAACCATAATCACTGATTTGGGATACAATAAGATTTAAAGAAACAGTCCTTTCATCATAAATGACCACAAATCAATTACCAAGCACCAGCTCAGACCATTGTTCAATAAGAAATAGACTCAGGTTGATTTAGATGCAATTCCCCACTCATTTTGAAAAGCTTCTCTCAACTGATAAGGGATATTTGTTCTTTGCTTCAAGGTCCCAAATGTCCAAAGCAAATTACGAGATCTTTGTTACCTACGCTAAGTTACTCTCTTTCTCATTTTGCAAAGAGAGGACAGTGTAGCAAGCAACATTATGAAAAGTGACACTTTAATATATATTTGATCATCATCTAACACAGACTCAGTGATAAGACTTAGTGAAATGTAATTCAGTAACAAAACCTGCGTCGCTTAAAAAGACAAAGGAGGTTAAAATATAATTAATTAATACTGAAAAATTTAAAATAATCTATAAAAGTTGAAAAAAAATCTGTACATAACAAACATAATGCAATACAATCCCCACAATAAGGCCAAGAAGGCCAAGGATCAAAATAAATCCAGTGAATATGGCAACACAAGACACAAATAAATAGCCAGTGTACACAACTAGGAGTGGGTTTTTTTGATATACACTCCTTTTAAAGGGTTTTTGAATCTTCCCATACATAACAGAACACAAAAATTACAAAAAGCATAAATATAAAAGCATCTTCTTTATATTTCAGGTCAAAAAAGCCCATAAATAAATACAAAATTACTAAAACTGTTCTTATCGTTAGTATAAAAACCGATAATAAAAAGAAAAGAGCATCTTCAGCCTTGAGACAGGTTTGTCGCTCTCTTTCTGTATGAACTTTCTTTGTTTACATATGTTTTTCCACTCAAGTGTTCCGTCCATTTTACAAGTCACTATTTAAACTGGTCTGGGATCAGATTCATCTGTGAATGGATACTTGTAGGCGGGCTAGAGATGCCTTCCGACCAATCGGACATGTTGGAATGTGGGGATGAGCTGGACCACTGGTCAGGGGAGCCGGGGGAGGGAGTAAGAAATGGGTGGTCAGGCACCTGTAGCTGGTGGTTAGGTGTGTTGTCCATGGGGCCAGAGTAGCTGTGCTGGGAGGGAGGGGTGAGAAATTGTGTACCGAGGATCTGCGTCTCCTGGGGCATGACAGTGTGGATGGACATAGAGCGGCCGTTGTTTTGCTGCATGTCAGAGCCGTTCAGCTCCACGTTTGGGAAACTCTGGTTGAGGGATTGCCCGGCTGTGGTAGAGTTGGAGTTCTGGTGCTGGAGCTGCCGCGAGTGAGCCTGCTGCATCATGTGTGCCGAGCTGAGGTGACTGGTCTGCATATTCTGGTAGCCCATGATATGTGACAGAGTGGCAGTGCTGACGCCATGCAGAGCACCCATCATGTTGTGGGATATGGGTGGTGCCTGCGTGAAACTTCCTTGCTGGCCAACACCAGGGTGCATCCTGGAGACCCAGCCACCTATGGATGCTGTGCCCTGACTGCTGGGGCTGGACACAGGCAGGTGTGAGAGACGTGGAGGGTTATGGTCAAAAGACATACAGCCCATATCCTTACCCATGCTCATCTGGCCCATATGGGAGTCTCCATTGCCTTGTAGGTGGTTTAAAGACATAGGTGGGGACTGCTGGAAGGGCGACGTCATGGGAGGAGAGGCCACATCAGACAGGTAGCCATGCGGTGACTCGAGGGAATCAACCGGGGATAGGACAGCTGATGTATCTAGCAGGTTACCCTTCCCATCCACCGACTTTTTCTTCTTCACTCTATTGTCTTTGCCCCCATCCTTCCCTCCTTTGCCGCCAGAGCTAGGTTTGCGAACCTTCTTGACAGACATGGTGGGCTTAAGGTTGCTAAGGTAGTCATTGGGGGAGCAGAGAGGTGGGGAGAGGCTGGAGGTACTTAGGGGGACGCTGTGGAGCCCAGGACTCCTAACTACATTGTACTCATCCAGAAGGCGGACGATGTCATGGTGCATGCGTTCCTGGGCGATATCTCTGGGCAGCTGGTCGAGATGGTCTGTGATCTCACGATTGGCAAATTGTTCCAGAAGAACCTTGGCTGTCTCGAAGCTGCCTTCACGGGCTGCAAGGAAGAGTGGTGTCTCTTCCTAAAAAGCAAGCAAAAAAAGAAACAGTTAATACACTAGGTATCTTACTGTGAAAGTAACGTTGTAAATGTTTGTCAAAAAGCTCCATCACAGTCACATCAATTCACATACCTTGTTGTCTTGCATGTCTTTGTTGGCACCATTTTTCAGCAGCACTACAGCAGCCTCCACGTTGTTTACAGCCGCTGCCCAGTGAAGAGCAGATTTACCTGCAGGAAGATTGAAAAGGTAGAGGGTTGATTATCAAAACAGCCCAGAATACAGATCTTTATGGACTGTGGAGATGATAAAACGTTAGCTACCAGAATCATCAGTGGCATTAGCATCGGCGTGGCAGTTGATAAGCTCTTCGACCATACCCTCAACCGCCAAACGGGCTGCCAGAATGAGTGGTGTTGTTCCATCTTGCATGCGAGCATCAAGATCAGTGGC